CTGTAAAAAAAAAATAAATAACTGAGTGGGATGGAATCATGAAAGGCCTTTTATATCTCAGTTTTAAAGGTTGTTATATAGGTATATAAATTTGTCAAAACTTTTTGAAACTTTTTCAAAATGTACACCAAGTACAGGTTCATTTCACTGTATATAATTTATTCTTTAAAAAAGTTGGCTTTTAAAATGCAATATGTCAATAATTGTAACTGTGTAGAAATTATTTGCCTTTATAGTTAAGTATCAGTTTGGAACGAAAATAGATAATAAAAGAAGGTTGGTAAAAGAAAGGGGGAAATTGTGGCTAAAACTTTTTTCTTTATGTTTGTGCTATTACATATATCCTCATCCTCCCCTTTTGACTACCTCTAGGCAACCCCAGCTCTCCCTTATCTCAGGCCTTCTCCACACTGCTGTCTGTGTCTATGGGTCATGCATAGATGTTCTTTGGCTAATCCTTTCTCCTTCTTTCATGAAGTCCCCCTGCCCACCTTCCCTTTGACAAATGTCAGTCTGTTCCATGTATCCATGCCTCTGTTTCTATCTTGTTCACCCGTTTAGTTTGTTCATTTGATTCCATATGTAAGTGAGGTTATATGGTATTTGTCTTTCACAGTCTAACTTATTTCACTTAGCATAATAATCTCCATGTCCATTCATGCTGTCACAAATGTAAGAGTCCCTTCTTTTTTACAGTTGAGTAGTATTCCATTGTATAAATGTATCACAGCTTATTTTATCCTCTCACCTACTGATGGATACTTTGGCTGTTTCCAGATCTTAACTATTGTATATGACCAAGAACATAAGAGTGCATACATTCTTTTGAATTAATGTTATGGAATTCTGAGGGTATATTCCCAGAAGTGAAATCACTGGGTCAACAGGCAGTTTCATTTCTAATTTTTTGAGGTAACTCCACACTGTTTTTCCTCAGTGACTGCATTATTTTACATTCCCATCAACAATTCACTAGGGTTCCCTCTTCCCCACATCCTCACCAGCACTTGTTTAGTGATTTATTAATGGTAGCCATTCTGACAGGTGTACAGTGATATCTCATTGTGGTTTTAAGTTTCCTTTCTCTGATGATTAGTGATGTTGAGCATTTTTTCATATGTCTATTGACCATTGGTATGTCCTCTTTGGAAAAGTGTATATTCAGGTCCTTTGCCCATTTTTTAAAATTGGATTCTTTGTCATCCTGGTGTTGAGTCATTTACATTCTCTGTATATTATGACAATTACCTCCTTAGTGGATGTATCACTCGCAAATATGGTCTCCCATACAATGAGTTCCCTTTTCATTTTGTTGGTGGTTTCTTTTGCTGTGCAGAAGCTTTTTAATTTGATACAGTACTATTTGTTTATCATTTCCTTTGTTCCCCCGACTTACAAAATATATTGGGAAAAATATCTGAAATTTTACTGTCCATGTTTTCTCTTAGGATTTTAATGGTATGTACCTGTCCAATTTTCCCAACACCATTTATTGAAGAGACTGTCTTTTTTTTTTAAGGTTTTATTTATTTATTTTTAGAGAGGGAAGGGAGTGGGGGGGGGGAGAGAGAGAGAGAGAGAGAGAGAGAGAGACATCAATGTGCGGTTGCTGGGGGTCATGGCCTGCAACCCAGGCATGTGCCCTGACTGGGAATTGAACCTGCGACACTTTGGTTCGCAGTCCATGCTCAATCCACTGAGCTACGCCAGCCAGGGCTTAAGAGACTGTCTTTACTCCATTGTATGCTCTTACTTTCCTTGTTAATATTCATTAACTATAAAAGCATAAGTTTATTTTGGGCTCTCTGTTCTGTTTCATTGATCTCTATTCCTGTTCTTAAACCAGTACCAGGCTGTTTTAATGATAATGGACTTGTAGTATCGTTTGGTATCAATATTAGTTATTGTGATATCTCTAACTTTGTCCTTCTTTCTCAAGATTACTGCCCTGGCTGGTGTAGCTCAGTGGATTGAGCATGGGCTGCGAATCAAAGGGTCACTGCTTCGATCTCCACTCAGGCCACATGCCTGGGATGTGGGCCAGGTTCCCAGTTAGGGTCATGTGAGAGGCAACCACACATGGATGTTTCCCTCCTTCTCTTTCTCCCTCCCTTCCCCTCTCTCTCAAACTAAAATAAATAAATAAATAAATAAAACATTTATTAAAAAGATTGCTGAAGGTATTCAAGTTTTTTTGTTGTTCTATATAACTTTTTGGAATATTTGTTCTGTGGTTGGCTAAAATTTTTCTATACTTTATTTAGAACTCCATTAATGTTGCTAATGTTTTAAATATGTATAACTCATAAGACTATGTCACTTACATATGTAATTATTAATATTATGGTCAGCAAGGATATAAAACATATAATAAACATGATATTTTTTCTTTGTAGATTTTAAATTGACAAATATTTGGAGACTCCACCATTCTAAAACTCTATGTTGATACATTGATAAGGAAATATAAAAGATTGAATTCTGGTCTTCAAGAGCTTTCAATCTAGGATGGGAGATATAAGTTTATTAGGCATACATTTGTTCAATTTCTTCCCCAGTAAATTTAGTTAAATAAATGTAAATGAATAAATAAATAAATAGATAGATACATTGAATCAGTTAGTTGGGCTTAATATGGGTAGTCTAGTCTTCAGCTTTAACCTTAAAAAGTACGTGTATCTAGAAAATGTTGAAGTTGGATCTGAATGAAGACTAAATGATGGGAAAAATGCAGATGAAGATTACCAAAGTATAAGGAAAAAAAACAACAACATAAGACTCAACTGAAGAAAAATTCTTAGTATGTTATTTAAAAAATAAGAAATAAAAATATAAATAAAACACCAAAGGAAATAAAAAGGGAATATAAATGTAATACATTTCACTCAAAGTTCCCAAAAACATAAAATGCAAGCTAACAAAATAAGCTTATTTGATGAATTAGTTATTTGTATTACAAAATTATTCATATGTGTATTACATAATGTGTATCCATAGGTGTTAATCCAAAAATTTAAATTATGAAGAAAATTTTAACATAATAAAATATTTTGAGTCCTTAATAAAATTATCAAAGTTTAACAGTTATGCCTGCTCTATGATCATTTGCAATTTATAAAGTTACCAGAATATACATTTTCCAACAGAAATATAAAATGAACCTTGAAACTAGGCCCCAGGATTAGTCCACAATAGACAAGAGAAATCAGATAAATTCACCAAAAATTATTCAAGGGCAAACCAATGGACAAATCAACATTTGAAAAGATGGAGGTAGTTGAAGGGCCAGAAAAAATAAAGGGTAATATAATAATAATAGAGGTAATAATAATAAATAGAATAATATTTTAGACAATATTTTTAGACAAAAATATGTTATTCCCTTAAGCACAACAAATACTTAACAACTCTTGAAAAGTTCTTGAGAAATGCTAATGAAATGTCTCAGTACTAGTATTCAGGAACCAGAGGGCAGGCTCATGGTGGACAGTGGGGAAAGAAAGAGAAGTCAAGTTACTGGAAAAATGTAAGGACAATTTGAAGGAAAACTAGCTAAAATTAAATATTTTTACTGATAGACTGGTATTGGAATAATATTGACTTAAAAGTCATAAGAAATTATAGATGAAAGAAATAATATGAAATCTGGGATTTTCTTCAAGATAATAAAGGAATGGAGAATTGGCCATTAGTGGATAGTTGCTGAAATTGGATGATGGCTACATGGAGGTTTGTAGCGATATTTGTCCTGTTTTTTTATATATTTAACATGCTCTCAGATAGCTTTGTAAAAAAGAAATAAATTAAAAACAAATGAACAATAACTGAAAAATGGATTGTGGGGAAAATAGAGATGTCTAATTAAGGTGTTTCTGTAATTTGTCAAAACTGGGATATGTTGGGAATGAAAGGCAGCACTATTAAAAACTATAACTGCTCCAGGCCTAAGCCAGTGCTGTCCCAGGCAGTCCAGGTTCTATGGTCTTTCTACTTTTAACCATCAGGTTTCAAATACAAGTCTAATGTGATTTAAGATTTGTTACAAAAACAGGAAATGGACAGAACCAATTGAGAACATTTCAATCATTAGCAACCAGTTGTGTTTTACATCTCTGTAAAGAACCAGCCCCAAATCATTGCAATAACCACTGAGCCTTCTGGGCCAGAATTCACCAACTGGTGGCCTGAGGTTGGATCCGGCCCACAGATGCATTTGCTTTGGCCTGCAATGTACTGGGTTACAGTGGGCTTTCTTAAAACTTTGAGTTTGTTTCCAGTATTTCCAAACTGAAAGATGGCATGTTAAAATTCAGATTTCTTGCTTCTTTTAAACAACTTGGAGTATTAAAAGTAGGCAAATTTTCTCATGTGGCGACAATTGACTGGAGCAGAATATTCTCTCTTTGGTTCATCTCAGCCATTGACCTCTTCCCAGTGATTTCTAAGGCTGGGCTGCTCTGCTTGGTTCCTTGTTTGCCTCCTACAGATACTTGACTTTTCAACCTTTGTACTACTAGGTCAAGCGCTCTTCACCAGAATATGAAAGTGAAGTTGGCTACAAACACTGTCATTCTATAAACAATAGAACATAGAAATCAACAAAGCCAGAAAATTAATGTGGAAATTCATGAGGACCTTAAAATAGGCCCAACAGAAGCAGCTAATTCTATTCAGAAAATTACTCTACAGTTTTTCTATATTTTGGATCATTTCACATATCCCAAAGTAATTTATTCTGAACTTTATCAGTAGGGCTCCCATAAGTTCTCTTATTAAAAAAGACAATAGCTAATCTGCAGCTCACTGGCCAAATGCATATTTAAAGGCCCCAGCCTAATGACTGCTACCCATCCTGTTTCTTTCAACAAGCCAGGAACATCACTGGGTTTGTGATTGTTAGCAAAATCTTCATTAATTATAAGCTTCATAAACTGTCACCCTTCAGCACAAAGGAAATGGGAAGCTGTAGTTGGCCTCATAACCAACTTCTAGAGACATACATATTTCGAAAAAATATTACTGGTAAAGGTATCTGTGGACTGAACTGGTATCTCCTGCGAGGCAAATAACTGCCTGCGTAGAGTCGGTCCTAAGCAAAAGAAGAGTTATCAAAAACCACTTTCAGAGACTTTATTTCCCACTAGTTTCCACTATGAAATCACCACAGCCCGAGTGATGTCCACAGAGACTACTCAAAATGCTTTGGTCTCTTTCACAATCTTTGGATTTCAACTGAACATTTCATCTATATTAGTGTTTTGGGGTGGGAATGATTGATATTCTTGGTACTAAAACAGAAGAGCTAATAACTATTTAGAGAATGATCTTAAGCATCTTGTGGTCATTCATATAATTTAAAACTAGGCATGATTAAGAGATATGGGCCAGAGCTATAAAGAATAGTGTGACTGCTTAGCACATACTGCTCCATAAAAACATTGCAGAATACATAATGTTATCATTTTATTCATTCCATAAATCATTAACTTCAATTCTTTTCCTGTTTTTGTATTCCTCAAACTCATTCCAAAGAGATCTTTATATCTACCATCACAACTCCCTGACTGTTCATATCAAATCATTGATAAGCTCCTTATTATTGAATTAAATAATCACTTTTCTGACCTCATCTGACTTGTTCTGTCATCAATATTTGACACAGCTGATCACCCCTTCCTTCTTGTAACATTTTCTTCACTGACTTCTGAACACAACCCTCTCCTGGACTTCCTCCTTTCTCACTCACTGCTTCACAATTGTATTTGCCAGTTCTTCCTTGTCTCCATGACCTCTAAACATGGGAGTGTTCAAAAAAGAATTATCTTCTGGAGGCTGGACCCCTTGTAGTGCAGGCTTTCCCCACTAGGGGAGTGTTCTAGGAATGCTTCTGTATCAGTGTGCCAGCTGGCATTGTTGTGAGGCACTGCCTTCAGCTTCAGTGAATTTTTTTTTTGAAGACTCTTTCAATTGCCCACTTCATAATGGGTGACTTATGAGCACACCTGCCACTGAATGTTCAGCGGTTTTTGACCAAAAATGGCATGACCCCAATGCCTCACCCTCCCTATTCACCCTATCTTGCCCCGAATGACTTTTTTTTGTTTTCCTAGATAAAATAAGTCCTTAAAGGGAAACATTTTGCTGAGGTGGAAGAGGTGAAACAAAAAATGGTAGAAGCACTAAAAGGCACCAAAATCGATGAGTTCAATAACTGTTTTGATAAGTGGAAAATATGTTTCCATAGGTGTACTGCATCAAATGGAAAATGCTTTGAAGCTGACTGAGGTTTAAACATGTAAAGATAAATACACAATTTTTAATAAATAAATTCCATTTTGGGGGTCCCTCCCAAAGAGCCCTCATACCTCTTCTCTACTATCTTTACATTAACTCCTAGTTGTTCAAGTTTAGTCTCAATGTTTTAAATATCATCACTATGATGATAACTCAAATCCAACTGTCTGCTCAACCACTTCACGTAAACATCTAAAGCCATCTCTAACTTAACATTCCCAAAACTGATTTCCTAATTATCACAAACCTACACATACCTTAAAAAATTTCCCCTTCCACAATCTTCTTTACTTCAGTTAATGAAAACTTCATTCTTCCAATTATTCAAGGTCAAAAAGTTATTGTCATCTTGATTTCTCTCTTTTACTCACATTGACATCTGAGCCAGAAGAAATCTCTGTTGAATCAACCACCAGAATCAATCGAGAATCTTGACTACGCACGACTTTTTTTCCTAGTTCTTTGTCCAAGTCATTGTGCTCTCTTGTCTGAATCAGAGCAACAGCCTCCTAACATCTGACTGCTGCCAGCCTCCTTCAGACTAGTCTCAACACAGAAACTACAATGATCCGCCTAAAACATTGTATGTCAGGTCACGTTGCTTTGTTCAAAACCTTACCATGTCTTCTACCTCACAGAGGGTAAAAGCCAAAGGCCTTAAAGTTGTTAACAAGAACCTGAATAATTAGTGCTGCAACTCCCAGCATCTCTTAATCTCCGACCTTACTCCTCTTATTCCCCTTGTTCAATATCCTTCAGATTCACAGAATGCCTTCATGTTTTTTGAATGTGCAGGTCATTTGCTGGACACCAAAAACCCCTGAATTTATTTATTTAAAAAATGTGTATGTATTCATACACATTTAAACTTGTCACCTTCAAAATACTCTCTATTTTATGCAATACACCTATTGAGACATTTTTCCCACTTATCAAAACAGTTTTTGAACTTGTCAATTTTGATGCATTTTAGTGCTTCTGCCATTTTCTGTTTCATCTCTTCCACCTCAGCAAAATGTTTTCCTTTGAGGACTTTTTTCATCCAGGGAAACAAACAAACAAAAAAAGTCTCCGTGTGCGAGATTGGGTGTATAGAAAGGGTGGGGCATACGGGGTTCATGCAATTTTTGGTCAAAAACTGCTGAACACTCAGTGTGGTGTGGGGAAATGTGCTTGTAAATCACTTATCATGAAGTAAGCAAACACACTGAAAGAGTCTTCAAAAAAATTCACTGAAGCTGAAGGCAGTGTCTCACAACAATGCCAGCAGGTACACTGATACAGAAGGGTTCCTAACACATACCACTAGCGGGGGAAGCCTATACTACAAGGGGCTTGCCCTCCAGAAGACAATTCCAGGTTTTGGGGGGTCCCCCTTTGTATGTTTGAGACAACCAGACTTCCTTGCTAAGAACCACTCCTGTGTTTTTGTTGTTGATACTGTTGAATGTTGTTTGTTTTTCTGAAACTCTGTAAACGTCTAGACTCTAGAAAGTGTAGGCATCAGGCAGTTTAAAAGCACAGCAATAGGTCTATCCACCATGTTGTATATCCAAAACTAATACAAAATAGTGTTGAATACAAACCACAATAAAAAAAACACAATAACTTTTTAAAATTACGGTAATAGAGCAGGAGAAAAAAGAAAACTTTGGCACAGTCTATGGCTTTAGCCAATGATTTTTAAACTTTACTATGATAAAATACAGATTCCTGATTAACACCCTAACCTGGACATTCTGATTTATTAGACCTAAAGTGAAGCCTAGGAGTATAAATATTTACAAATATAATATCTCTGTTAGAAATCCTCTGAAAAACACTGGGCTAGAGAACTGACTTCACTGTACAGGTTGGGCTGGGATGGACAGTGAGCTCAGTGGATGGCATCCAAAGTGTGGCATGTTCAGGTATCCTTTGGTCCCAGAGAGGTCCATGGCCACAAACACAACACAGAGATAAGAAAAGCCGTCATTGCTGAGTGCTGTCAGAACATGTACAGACCAACATCTAGTCTGAGGTTGGGGAAAACTTAGAGTGTTTCTAATGTCCTAGTCTCATGGTACAGTCTGCTTTGTACCCTAAGGGAAATTTGGGGGAAAATAAAGAAAGGAAGAAAACTAAGACAGAATTCTAATCTGTGGGCAGGACAGGCTGGACAGAAGATAATTTTGTCACTTTGAAGGATTTACATATTTTCATTTTTAATATTCCAGATCTGGTTAGAAGATGGGGAAGGGTGAAATAAGCTAAAAATAGAGGACTCTATGAAACCCAAGTCTGGAAATCATGATTGAGTTTCAAGTTCCATAATGAATTACAGCTGAGGATGATGGTTTGTTTTCTACCTCCAGTAGGAATAGCCCAGAAATGAAGTCTGAAGGGCAGATGTGTTATGGAAGAAAAAACAATAAGTCAGTAGGTAACATTGAACCTCCAAGAGTCTATATCTGCCACCAGGAAAGTGGAAAACTGAGCATTACCTTATCTTACTTAAAAATCTTCCCTGGCTGGTGTGGTTCAGTGGATACAGCACCAGCTTGCAAACCAAAAGGTCCTTGGTTCAATTCCCAGTCACAGCACACGCCTAGGTTGTGGGCTGGGTCTCCAGCAGGGGGCAGGTAAGAGGCAACCACACATTGCTGTTTCTCTCCCTCTCTTTATGCCTCCCTTGTCCTCTCTATAAAAATAAATAAATGAATAAATAAATAAATAATCTTTAAAAATCTAAAGCCATCATTACTTTCCCCACATGCTGAGAGAAGTTCTATCATAATTAATGCACAGAACAAAACAACTACAAGGAGAACATAATAACTGGATCTTTCCATAGATACCAGAACAATTAAATTGCAAGTAATTACAAGTTTTAATTATTAAGCAACATTTTTGCTTACAAGGTGATAGGAATTGATATCTAATATATAATAGTATCTGGAAAAATATTATCTGGTTTATTTAAACAAGAGAGAATGTTTTTGAACATGTGAAAACCAAAGCTGAGAGAAATTCATTGGCTTTCCCAAGTGCATACATAGGTTGTCCAAGGTGAAGAAATAAACATCTATCTTTTTAATTTTAAAGTTCATTTCCATTCTACCTTCTGACTTCTTTGATGATAGATAAATGATAGACACACACTTCAATGGGACTTTTCCTGTCTTTTTTATAATTTTATTAAGAAAAATTCAAAAATATATACAAAAGTAGAATATTATCATGAACCCCAATTACCCATTGTCCAGCAATAACAATATTCATTCTTCTTTCACTCACTCACCCCCTCAAAGGTTAATTCGAGCAACTTACAGACATATATCATCTCATCAATAAATAATAGTTTGGCACTGATTTCCAAATAATCAGTACTCTTTTTAAAAAAAATTATGGCTTCATATAACTTAATTAGATAAGAAAACATACATTTAAATCACAGTGCATGTTTTCATATTTACTATTTTATCAATAATTGGGAGATTTCCTTGGGTGGTATGAAGCTGAAACTCAGTGTGTTTTAGTGACAGTTTTGGAAGTGCAATGATTTTTTTATACAAGCATAGGATCATGTGATTATTTTTTCATAAAAGGAATTCCTAGTCATCACATTTTTCCAAACTCAGAAACTTTTGAGTGAATTATTCTGATTCCATTATGACTACTGTTCTTTGAGAATTGTGAGATTTCCCACTTGAAACTTCTATCTTTATTGATTGTGATGGTAATCAACTGAATTATTCTTTTCCTCTTGAGAGCTATAGAGCTTCTTGAAGCCTCTGTATTCCAGTGGCTAATAAAGGCTCTGGTATTAGAAGTAAAACTGTTAAAGGATTGAGAACAGCAACTTAAAAGCTCAAACTATGCAGTGTTTCAGAAAAGTACACTAATTGTCTTGAAAAAAGCCATTCTGCTTTGTTGCAAACAGTAACTATATATTAGTTAAATAATAAATATTTACAGATTAAATAATATGATGTTTAGGATTTGCTTCAAAATAGTCTTAAGGAAGAATAGTAAGTGAAAGTATAGATAAAACTGAATTGTTTAAAAGTTGAATGTTGAAATGAAATGATGGAGTTTCATTATATCCTCTACTTTTGTATATGTTTGAAATTGTTTAGAATGAAAACTTTTAATAAACAAAATGGAAATCACATGAAAATGACACAACAAAGTCCTCAAACACACTTTGCAACTGCTCCTGTCTGAATCGACTCATCCAAACAGCCAGTAAGTAGTACTAATCAGACTGGTCTGGGTTGCACCACTTTCCAATTCATCCAAAGAACAACAGCAAAGATCAGCATACAGGAACCTAAATAATATATAAATGGTCAGTTATTTCCACCTCTTTAATTAATTACAGGTGAGTCCTATTTAGAGCTTCTGAATGCAACCCATTTCAGAGGACATGAATTATTCCTTGATTTCATGGGTGACTATCAAACACTATAAGGAGGACATACAGTTTCCTTAGAAAAATACTACCAGAAAATCAAGTTAACCTCAGGGAAAAGGAAAACATAGCTTACTATTTCAGAACAGATAAAAAAAATATACACACATACACATACAAAATGGTATGCTGATACTTTTATAGTAAATATTTTTGAAACTGAATAAAAAATAAACAAATGAACCATAATAAAAACAAGAAAAAAGGCTTACTTGTTAGTGACAAGGGACTCTGTATTTAGATCAAACAAGAAGTAGAAGAGTGGGGAATCCTAAACAGTTCTACAAACTATAAAAGTCCTGCTCAACGATCACTGCCATCTTTCTAAATATTAGCCTGGAGTTATCAGAACCTGATCTCTGGATAGTCTGATCCACTTCAGCCATAAAAATCAATGCCCAGTTGTTAAAAAGTTCTGACCAACGCCAAGGCCCAGAATTTACAGAGCTTAAGCCGGCCTCTGAAAGCCCAGGCTAGCTGACTGCAGGTGGGCATTCGGACAAAACTGCCCTCAAATGACAAAGGCCTAGCGAGGATTCAGGCAGCCAACTCACACCACTGCCATTACCCTGAGAAAGTTCTTTTGAAAATTTCATACAGTCTTAGGTTCCAAAGCAAGTGAGAAAAGAAGAGAAAAAGAAGGAATTTAGGTGAAGGGGAAGGAGGAGAGGAAAGCATGAAGGAAAAAGAAGGAAAAATTTGTGCTAGGATATTTTGTCTTGATTTTCTAAATCAGCAATTGTCATTCAATATCTTCTTAAGAGAATCAAAAAATTAAACATTCCCTAAATTTTGTTTCTGCTTCTTTTATGACCAATACCATATTTCACCTTATATTTTATTAAACTGTATGTGTCTCTCTTTTTATATTTCAGAAGGAAAGACAGCATTTGGAATTCACTTTTGAAATATCATAGTCTCTATAACAATGATCATATTTGTCTTACATATTGGTTGAGTTAATTAATTAATCAGTCCACTCAAGTGCAAGCACTGGATAGGTAAGTAAAATGCAACAGCTGCAGAACCTGTAGATTGAGTGAGAGGCTCCACATTCGGCTCTTCACACTGATCCAGCAATGAGAGAACATAGAAGAATTGTGTTCTTTCCTTATTTTTGTTACCTTACATAGTGGGATTTGTGTAGTTGTCAGTGAATTAATACATATAGAAAATATATTTTATGCCTATTTACCTGTGACCAGAACTTAAAGTTCACATTTCCCAAGTGAACTTAAACAATTGAATTTAATGGTGTTTCCATCTCTTATGCACCTTCTGCTCCCAGTTTATAAAAATATTCTTCATAATTCACATAAACAAAACAATAGAATGGTATTCTATTTCTTTTTCAAACTAAGATAGATAGGTTTCCTGTATCCTCCCTTGTTCCATGAATGCATATTTCTGAAACAGAACTCTCAGAAATGAAAAACCTTAAAATGATATTTCACAATAGAAATTGTTAGTCAATTGCATTTATAGCCAAATCAGTTAAGTAGATTTCCCTGATTTAAATAAAATTTTACATTAGAAGGTTTTGATTTTTATCTATAGACAAGAGTAACTGAAATCACTACTTTGAGAACTATATAAAACTTCAGTGAGCATCTTGTCAAGAGCACTGATGTTAACAAATGAAAAAGCCAAGAGCCAAGGCTATCAACTGACTTTATTAGGTCAGCAAATGAAACTATGACTGAGACAATACCAAAAATCACATAACCTCCACAGAATACTGTCCAAATTGAACAAATCACTTATTTGAACATATATATACACACACATAATGAACTTGAAGTTTGACACTTCCATTTAATTATTGCCCAACTTCTTTAAATATTTATTGATTCAGAAACTATAGTAATATTAGCTAACTTTTTAAATATAATAAATATCCTGAGATTTTTCTCTGCCACAGCATTATAAACATAGTCTGAAATATGTCTTAGACCCATAAATTTTACCCTGCTGTACCAAAAATATCAGAGCAATCTGTAATGATTTATAGTATATAGTAAAAGTAGTACATAAAATAGAAAAACAGCACTAAAGTTGTTGAATACTGATTAACTGTTGTCCTCAACTCCAAATATTTTTATTGTAATTAACACACATTTCTGGGATTTTAAATAAGTATAGATATTATAAGTCACAAAATAGATAATAATTGTCAAAGAAAAAAACAGTTTTGGATCCTGTACCTTGTTTCTTTATTTTTATTGACCATAAGTGAGGTTCTTTTTCAATATTCTTTGTGTGTAGTTATCTCTTTACTTAATATTTTTAACACACTCCTTGACATTTTTATTGGTACATATCTGTAGAATTTCATTGTATTTATTAGTGTGACCTTTTAAACTTTCAATTCACCTTCATAAATATTTCAATACTACAAAGATAATTATACTTTGTAAAAAATGAGCTCCATTTTTACTCATATCTTATAAAATAATTATTACACACTTCTGAGGAATCAGTATATATTTGTTAATTGCTTACCATATAATTATTGGTTAAAAATAAGTTGCTAATTTCAGAATAAAATGGTCACCATTACAGTTCTAAATCAAAAGCTACCTACAGGGCTATGAAAGTTCCAAAAGAAAAAATTAAAGTTCAATTGGTTGTTTTTCTGTATGTGAAATACTAAACAAATTATCTGCCTTTTAATGTACTTCTCAGGATGTTTCTAAATCCTTTAGATATGACTAGAGATTTGTTTCCTACCCTGTGAGTATTGACAACCTCACTTTACATTCACATGTATGAAGAACATTTCATATTTTTGAGAGCTGCTATTTACGGACTATATGCTGTGATACATGTGAGTTTCACTTTTATATAGAGGACCTCCCAAATGGCTGATTCAGTTAAGGAATTTCAAGGAAAATTGTTCATAACAAATAAGATAAAATTCAATATTTGAATTTGAGGATTATTGTTCCATTTACATAAAAATTGCCTTAATTTGAGTGGGTTTTTAGTTTAAATCTAATTTCACTTTTTTTCTGGAAAGTCACTTCACTATTACTTGTGGAATTCCTTGATATGTGATATGATTTTTTTTCCTTTTGCAGAGAAAAGCCCAGGAGACAATTCTCCTCAGAATGACCCTGCTGTGCCCTGTGTTTACTCCACAGTGACACTCAGAGAGAGGAGTTTGAAGATGTGTTACACCTAGAGCCAAGAACTGTTGTGATTTTGAAGAAGTTATTGATGCTTAAAATTCTATTTTAAGCCATATAAAAATATAATTCCTTTTAAAACAAAAGAAAAAAGGAAAGCTACTTTTGATGTTATAAATAAAAGATTTTGTTCCTGACACCAAATTGTACTGTTCATTTATTTTGTCCCTATCGGTGTACACAGGGGTATTTTTCCCCTTCCTTTCTACTCAGCAACAATAATAATATCAGATCTCAGGCTTAGGATCTGACCGAACAGAAAGGGTGACATGAACACACTAGATGGGTATAGCTTTATAAAGCAATGCCCATCCCCCTCGGTTGATGGAGCTGATTAAGCTCCCTCAAGCTTGAATCTACAGGGAAGTTATAGTGATTTGAGGATCCCACATGAACAAATATTGACACTTCCACCAAGAATCCCCCAAATCATGTGCGAAGTGAGAAGCCCAGACCTACAAATGAGTGGGCCCAGGAGACTAACCTGGGCGCAGGAGGGTGCGAAGTTAGTAACTGCTTTGAGAAATCGAATCGCTGTTTCTCGTTCCATGTATACTTTTCTTTCCCTTTTCCCCACTGAAAATATATATATATTTATTTATTTATTTATTAGCTCCCACATGAATCTCAATAACTGGGCTTTCTTTTCGGCATTTGGTGCCTAATAATTAATGATGCCCGTGCCTCATGCCTTGTAGGTTCTGGCCACCCTGAGCACCTGACGTCAGCTGCCCCCATCCCGCCTCTGTCAGGTCTTCCAAGCATTCCCCGGGTGGCCTGGACTTGGACAGTGGGGGCGGCAGGGAAGGATCCCGGGACAGGGCTGGGTGAGACCCCAGAGAGGGAGAAAGGAGCTCCCTCCATGCCCACCGAAAAGTCCAATCTCAGAACCGCCGCATTTTCGGCTCCGAGGAACTGGAGGTCACCCCAGACCTGGGACCATGTCTGAAGGTCCAAACCCAAGTGTATTTCCGGGGGCTAGGCAAGGGGGGGGGGCGGTTCTAGAGAAGAGAGCCAAAGAAATTCAGTGTAAGTCTGCAAGCAGTGAGCGCTCTCTTCCCTCCGCTCTTTTGAGAATCAACGTTGTATTGTTTCCACTGGCTCCAAAAAGTGGGTTTTAGATAGAAATAGATACACCGCACCTACCTCAACTTGACACAACTTGGAAGGTGGTGATCCTGGGGAGTTCCTTCCCCGTACACCCGTCTCTGGAGAACGCAACGTGGGGGAGGGGTGCTGGGGCCCGCCCCCGGGGAAAGTGAACTCCATATCGCCACAATTTTTCCTCTCTCCTTCCTTTCCCAACATTTTCCTCCTTTCTCTACTCTCCTCTGCACCCTTGGAGCAGCTTTTGCAAATATTTCAAGGCTAGGAAGTTCTCAAGATTATGGAAAGGTGTGATTTTTCCAAAAGGCGGCCCGGGCCGCTGTCTTTCAGAAAAGTGTTCAACCCGCGTACTTGCCCTTGTCCTAAGGGTCGGGGACCCGTGTTTGGAGAGCGGTGGGCCTGTGCGTGGGACCGAGACTACAGAACTCGGTAGGAAACAAGTCCTGTGGCTCTGCTGGGTCCTATCTGAATTTTTTCAACCTCGGCTCCTGGACAATTATTTCTCTCCCCTAGAATCCTTATTTTTCAGCTTTTTTCATGATAGTAGGTACCGTTCCTGTGTAATTTTCCATCCTTTCATCTACTCTTGGAGGACAATGGAAAGTGAAGGCAGATTCTCCTGAGCAGAGATTTGACGACAAAAACTGTTTCCTGTTACATTTCTCCTGGAATAAATTTGGGTCCCAGGAAAAGCCCCTGTGCAGCTCCAGCAAAACCCGGAGGCTAAAGCCAACACTTAGATGCACAAAACTGCCACTGCCGCTGCGCTCCGCTCTCCCGGACGGAAGCGGAAGGAAGTCGGCGGCTGTAGGTCTGCGGGGCGCAGACCAAGAACTTGACTTCGCTTCGTCCTCCCCTTTGCACTCTAAGTGTGGCTGAGAACTCGAGCAGGAGCGAATTTCTGCCCCTCTTCAATTGAGAGCAGCGTGTTCAGTTAGCGTGTTCAGTTACTGGGGGAAAGAGAAGAAAAGCAGTTTCTAGGGGTCTGTGTGGGTGTGTGTTTTAACTTAGAGCTTTAATGTCAACTTAAATAAAATGACACCTTTCCAGAACCAGTCAATAAATACTGCGGGAGCTGCCGCACCCTTCGAGTGGCCTCCGATTCCGTGGCTGCAGCGAAATTCCCAGTTCTAGCCTAATCTGTGAGGCCAAGGAGCTGCAGGTTCAGCCGAGAGCACCAGGCCAGTGTTCCTGTGGTCCACCTGCCCTCCCTGTCTGGGCTCCAAAGTCTGGAGACAAGTTGAGCCAAATTAAATCCAGAGAGGTCAACTTTGAGCCAGCTTTAGTATTAGTGATGCTCCCCTCTGTATATGCCCCTCTGTATATGCCTGTCTGATATAAATCGTCATACTCTAGTATCTCCAGCAAGTAAAACAAAATATATATGCATGTATGTATGTGTATATATACATGCATATATACATATATTCATTCACAGAAAAAGTATTGCCATACTGTGACACTGTCTTCACATCCCTGTCTGGCATTAGGAATTAACACAACAGAATTAATTAGAATGAGATGATTGGCCTTATTTATAACATTGCCTAGAAGTGGCAACTTGGAGGATTTCAGGAATTATTCAAAGATATTTATTTTGTTTTGTTTGTTTGTTTTTAAGGAGCTAGTAATGTCCCTTTTACCCGGTGTCCTCCACTGGCCTTTTCAGGTGGGGATTGGCCTTCCTGACACTTGGTTAAGCCTCAGGATTTAAAAAGATCATTTCCTAGTACACTAATTTGAGCGAAATCTGGATTCAGAGTGTGGGTTTACACGCCCAGCTCAAATGTCTAATGTATCAAATCCTCGTTAACTAACGGCTCGCTCCGTGGCCGTGTCAGCCAAAGGTCAGCCCTGTGCAACAGGGCAGCACGGTTCAAAAGCACTCTTCCAGCGCCCTGCCTCCCACCCCCTCACACTAATCCATCTTTCACGTTTCTATAATAGAGCACACAGAGTTTCCACAAGAAATGCCAAGGTTGTTTTTCTTTCCTTCTTTCTTCACATTAGTGACATGTAAACGATGTATCCTAAGGAAACTACTGGAAAATTGTTTATTTTTTTCCGGTGAGAAGGGATTGGAGTTAGTAGACAAAGTAATTGTCAAAATGTCCTCAAGAAGCACAAATATTTCAGAAGTTGTGGCTCTTAGAAATCTTCACTTAAAATAGTAATAATAATAATAATTAATAACTTCGCAGAATTGAAATGAAAACAGTGAGTAAGCTTTGTTGGAGACCTTAGGGATTAGAAACTACTCAGGGACAGGGACAATTCTCCCCCCCGCCCCCACAACCTCCTCCTCACCCCCCCCCCAAACACTTTGGAGACCAACGGAAAGAAAAGGCAGCTTTAGTGTCCACAGGGACAAAGAGGATCCAGGAGAGCGAGGCTGGACCCTTTGCGTTCCCGCCTCACTGGAGAGCCCCGCAACATTTCTGACTACCTTGGGGTCCTCGGTGTTCATGCACACCAACCTCACAGGCCAGACTGGCGTGGCTGCTCCACATCAGCCCAACTTCTCGGCGCGTGCTGCGGCCACGCGCGCGCACTCAGTCGCGGGCCCAGTCGGCTGGGAAGGTGGCTGGGCGGGGTGGGGAGAGAATGAGACTTACCACGTCTGGGGTCTAGGTTTCTGGCAAGGTTGGCAGCAGAGAGAGGCCGGGAAGAGAATCAGTCCTACTGGAAACACGCAATTTGGGCAGGGACTAAGGCGCTAGTGGGGAGAAGGAGAGTGTCTGTCTGGTTTGGGGGTCCTTCTTCCCTTGGCCCCGGCCTGCGCCCCGAGCTGTCGCCTCCGCAGATTAAACATGGCCTGGCATGAGGAGGCCCCAGAGCCCCATTCGCCGCCATCAAGCTGGAGCCTCCCAGCCTCGGGGCTCCGGCGCCATCCCCAGGGACGCGGGTGCGGAGGGGGGAGCCGGGAAGGACCGTCCCCACTCTACGGTCCGGGAGAGGGCAACCGCACCTCCTGTTCGGATACTGGCGGCCACGTCCGCTAGCTTGCAGACCCCCGCCCGCTCTCGCCCCCGCCCCCGCCCCTCCCTTTCCTCAAACCCCTCGCCAAATGAAAAGGGTTCTTGGGGCCTTGGCCTTTTGGGAAAGAACGCAGGAACCCAGACTGAGTTGGTTCTTTCTGCCCGGAGCGAGCCCGACTCTTGTCTTCGTCATTAGCATGGAGTCCCTAGAGTCTAGATCGCAACCTCCTCAACATATTCAAACACAAAAGGACCTAAATTGGGGAGAGATTTCCCGGAAGGGTGGCCCTTCTGGCAGGGATTTGGTGTACAAGGATTCTGCGCCCTGCGATCTGTGTGCCCTGGACAAGAGAACGCTTGTGTTCCCTTCACCTTTCAGGCCGGTCCAAGGGAGTGGGGATGAGCAGCTTCTGCCAAGCTTCCCTGAGCCCAGGTCCCGACGACGGTTCTTTTGGGACCATTCTCTGCAACTCAGAGGATGTGTAGGAGGAAAGTCTTTGTTCTGGCAGGCACGTTTCTAAAAGCCCTCTGCCTTACCCTCTGGTTCCAAGTTGAAGACTTGACAGGTGGTGGCTGTCAAGTGAAATGATGCTCTGGCCCTTGAAACTGGCCAGGTTGGAGCTGGCCCTGGGTTAAACTGCAGTGCAAACTGGGCAGTGACACAAGTCCTCTCCTGTTGGCAATGGGGGGAACAAGTGGGTGGGCACCATGGAATGGGTCTACTCATTCCGTTGAAAATAATATCCAGAGGAGGATTGAAACTTGTCAGCAGCCATTTTCTGATGCCTTGGTCCTAGGATTTTGACTAAAATACCCAAAGGCAAAGCTAGAGTTACCCAGGGACCCACCACCATTTCTTCCCTTTGTTTAGAAGGGTTGATAATCCCATCATACAGATTATACACTGCTCTGGAAATGTCAGTACATCGGCCACAAAATATCTTGCAATGTGCAGAACCCCCCCCCCCCCAAAAAAATGTCACCAGGAGAAGAGGCAAAAGCCTGGCACCTGAACTCCTCCAATCCCCCAGTACCTAGGTTTCTAAGTCAGGACCCTTCCTCCACCAGTCATCATGGTTGCACCACATACCTGCGCATTTGAGCTCGACAGGCTTACACCAGTTCACAAGCCTGAGAGCTGACAAGTATTATTGGGGAAGGGTCAAGTGAAAACCCTAGAGAAGCCTGGGACACAGCCAGAGACAGGAACAGGAACCAGGAGAGAAAGTAAAAGGAGAGAGAGAAAGAGAGAGAGCTGGGTGGATGGGTGGATTCATGAATGGACAAATAGAAGGATGGATACTCTAGTAGATAGATGATACATAGATGAGAAATAACGACAGGTGGACACTCAGGCCTGGGCCTGTGCAAAGAAGAAGGGTGGCACTGGGGTGTTTGCCTAGAGTGCCACACACACCCCTCCTTACGCACACCTCAGGCTTGGGCTCTGTCTAGGTGCCAGGTGAGTGGGAGGGGAAGTCCTCTCCAAGGAGCTAAGGGATATAAAAACAGCCACAGTGCCATTTCCAACTTTGAAGGGTACAGGAGGAAGAGGAATTTTCGGTGCCTTGACTCCTGGTCGACTGAGGCTCTCGCACCTCGCAGTCCGCGGCTCTTGGAACGGGGGAGTCGGGAGGGCCCTTCGGGCTCGCGATTTGGATGGCTGGAGCTGCAAATTTTTCCAGCCCACGCTGTCTGCCAGGCATTGTGAAGTCACTTCAACCAACGCGGTTTGTAAAGAAACACGTGCAGCTTCATCGCCACACTATTTTGGCAGCAGGACCAGCGGGTTTCACAGACCAGAGCCTCTGAGCTGTTCCCTTTGCCACCCGTGGGCCGGGGGCTCCGTATGAATATTCATAAGCGCGTGGAACCGCGGGTCGCGAATCACGCATGCGCACTGCCCTCCCAGCAGCAGCTCCAGCGGGTAGCAAGGACTTGGACAGCACTCCGCCGAGCTGAAGATTGGCGCAGAGGGCTTCTCAAAAGCTGACCATCCGGCCTTCTGTGGAGGTGCCCTAGGGAAGTCATGCTATTCCCCCTACCACACCCACACCCAAAGCCTGAGTTTATGTATTTTCAAGAAACTCTCCAGGACAAAAAATCTCCCTTAACTTACAGCCTCACCCGCCCCTACCCTTTCTCGCGGTTTTACCCCTCACAACTTTTAGTTTTCTTTTCCAGGGGCTAGGATTTTCCCGGATAAACATTAAAAAAATTTTTTAAAGGAATCAAGATGTGAGCTTCTCTCACCGTTTTTAGATACTAATGTTTTCTATAGCTTAATGGGAACTGTTACACAAAAAACAGATACATTTTATATCTGTTTGCTAAGGTCACTTGCCTTCTAAATTTGGGGTGTTTTTTAAAAAGATGTGATTCCCTTATGTTTATATTCACACTTAATAGTTGATTCTTAAGTATGCTGTAGGTAAAAATTCCTACACTGTGTAAGTTTCACAGCCCATGAATTCTGCATATGCTTGTGGAGATGCTCTGCAAACCATCAGAGGCAGCCAAAACATTGTTGACAGTCTTAAGTCTCTAGCATCTTCACTGCCAATGTAATTTCCATTCTAGATTGCTAAATCCAATTTCTTATTCTAGAAAAGCCCATCTCCAGTGTAGCATCAATTGGAAACTTTATACTAGTTTAGCTCCTCATTCTAAAGTGGAAATAAATGTTAGGAACTAATGCCAGAATTCAGCATGCATGGTAAAAATAGCCCCTGGCTTAGCCTTATCATGTTTCCTCTTGCTCAGACAGAGACTCTGGAGTGAACCAGCCTTGCATAGATTAATGGAAAACATTGCCCATATTTTGTGTATATTATGCCATTATAGTTGCAATAAACTTTGAGGAAAAGGCTCAACTGTGATATGGTACAGGAAGTTAACAGTTTTCTTATTTCTTGTCCCAAAAAATAGATTACTTTATAGTTACCCCCATAACGTATTACTCTTTATATCTAACCAAGTTAAATGGGTACATATTACTAAGGCTGAGATAGGTTGTAAAAAGCAGATAAATAAAACACCATAAATAATATGAATATTTAGTGGCTTGATGAGCATAGAATGGACACATCTTTCCATTGTGACTCTATTTCCAAGAACTCTAAAACCAGAGAATATAAGTTGTAACCATCTTAATGAAAGCAACGCTTTTTTCCCTAGTATGAACATATAGTTCTAGGATCTATACTTGATGCTAGGAGGAAGTGAGAATTCTGTGCTTAGAGAGAAGATAAATATGTAATTTCAACTTGAGGAAAAAAAGAAATATAAGTAGGAAATGTCTAAAATCTGATGGCTTCATATCTAGTTCACAAATGGTCCAAAATACATGCTCAGTATGTTCATTTTGAGTTTGTCAAACCACGTATGGTTAGTTTTCAACCTATCATAAACTGATGATGTTTAAGGGTCTGAGCCTTCTCTAGGCTGCTTCTTGGATGGCAGTGTGCTCAGGTACCAACACTGCCAGCACTGACTCACAAGGGGCCCAGGACACTGATTACATTTTGGCCTCAAAAGGGAATGTCTGGAAGGTTCAGGGCTGGGCAAGGTACGTGGAGGGTATGGTTCTGTTGCCAGGCCTTTAAAAGTTCTGGGAAAATTTCACAATCAACAAATAAAAACATCTAAATGCCAGGCCCATCAGTAAAGAAGGTTAGTGCTATTTTCATTGTCAGCTAAAGCAAAAAAAAAAAAAAAAAGGATAAGCATATGGGGCAATTGAAAGGTTACATCTTTCTTTTGGAGGTGGTTTGCTTCTTAAAGGTTAACTTGAATGCTTGACTTTAAAAAATCAAAATCATCAGCTGCAAACGCTTAAAGCAGTTGGGGGTAGCTTTTGAAGAACAAAACAAAGGGTCTGAAATGTTTGAAAATTACTTAGCCTCCATATAAATGGTGCTTGTATATTTATATGCTAACTCTGTAAATGTACATACATACGACAGCTCATCCCTCTTCATTTCTTGAATATGATTGCTTGTACTCAGGCATTTTTGTTGATACAATAAAACTTTTTAATAACTTATTAGCTATTCTAATCATTTGACAGTACCCAGAAAACAATGCAGTCAAAATATGAACCAGGACGGCTTTCTGCCTAAATCAAAATCCACAGCTACACACAGAAACCAGTCATTTGCAGCATCTTCAGCTTCTGCTAAATAGGGTCTAACAATATATTTTGCTGTTCACATTCATGTATTTCAGAACCTAATAGCCCATGAAGAAAAGTATGAAGAATACATCTCAAGAAGCAGACATTAAAGGTACCAGCAAAAATAATAGACTACATTGAAGTCTGAAGCATGATTTTAGGCGACCTACATCATTAATGACTTTTTTCTTTGTGGTGGGTGTTACAGAAGAGAATGTATAAGGTGGGTTGGCATAAATATTGGCTTCTAGTATAAAAGTTCCTTTTCTGTGAGTGAGATTGTTCACAAACACACACATGCACAGTACTTCTCAAAATGCTTTTAAAAAATCATTTGGCCTTCAAAGTCTTAAAAATATGTTTGAAATATGAAGTATTTTTGAAGAATACATTTACCCCTAAAATTTATCTTTAAAATATCCTACTTAAATCATGTATCATAGTATGATTTTAATCACTACTATGACATTAAAATTAAAAAGGCACTGGGTACATAAATGAGACATTCATATTTTCAAATTTGAAATAAACTAGATGTAGAAAAATGCCCCCATTTACTATCTTTCTAAAAACACTAACAAAGTTACAAAAGTACTATTGTTGTTGTTGTTATGGTTATTATTATCATACTCATATCATGCTCCCAGACAGTCTGATCTCTAATGGAAAGGGGACAGAGTATTAACTGAGGTGTTTATCTTTCTTTCCTAGAGAGATGAACTATCTTTATTTCTCTTTCTATTTTTGTTAATTATTGGTGTAACGTCTAGGATCATTTCAAATGCTACACTGACAGCTTTAGGTTCCACAAATTTTTGGAGTGAGCGGCAATTCCTGCTTAGGTGTTCAACCTCCTTAATTCTGGCAAAATCTTGCAAGGTGGCGCTCTTTTCGTGAAAGGTAGATGTTTACTTTTATAATCACAATAACATTTTTTAAAAGTTAAACACTACCATTTCCAGTTTTTAATGAGCTACAAAAATTCACCAAGTCCCCTCAGCCACCAAAACTTTGTAGGCTGAATGTGACAAATAGCAAATAGGAAGATGAAAGTACAAGTCAACAAATAATTTTTAAAGAGAATTTAACATTTTGGTTTTGCACACTCTTAAAAATTGTCACTTTTAAATAGGTGTGAAGATCTTAAGGGCCTATCATACTTTCATGGGTTTTCCCCACTTGTTTTTCTCCTCAGAGTCACTTCCTGAACTCACAGAGTGTATTAAAGAAGCAGGTCCAGATTCCTCCTGGTCCATAGTGAGTCCATATCTGACTCCTGCTCTGACACAGCCAAGGCCCTGATTTGTAATCTCCAGCTACGTTGTCTGCTTAATGGGGCGATCATGCAAGCTACAACCAGAGACAAAGAAGCTCCCATTCCTACCAGCACAGCTAACTTAGAGGGAGCAGCAAAGCTTGCAAATCTATCAAACTAAACTGCAAGAAAGACAATCTGATTTAGAGAAAAGGCGTTCCGCTACAGTCATTAAGCACAAGTAATTTAGATTTTTTATATTGTCTCCTCATTTACAAATTTACTGTATCAATGCCAGCCAATGGAACGAATTTCTTAAGTAAATGAGAAATAAATAAAAGAGATAGAAAGATAATAAAATTACATAAAATAATTCTCTTCCCTAGATGTATTTTTGAGAGAACTAATAACAGCAGTAAAATTACAGTAATAATAACATATCATAGAAAGTAATTAATTTAAATTAGCATCACATTTAAAGAAATATAAGTAAACCGCTTTAAGGACATTTACTTTTATACAAAGAAGGAAGGTCTGGAAAAGCATGCATTGACATCCTGAAAATTAGTTATAGCCATAAATGGCTTAATTGAAGACAGCAATTTAAAATATGATATTGTAAATCTGCAACTTGGTTTCAGCCTGGGGAATTTAATTTGGGGGCAGTCGAACCCTCTGCTGCAAGTTCATTTGCAACACTACAGAGTGAGCCCTGAGCTTCTGACAATTCGTCTACATTAATATTGATGTCGTCTGTGCAATCTATTTCTGTTATTTTTATGGTTGTTATTCCACGTCTGCAAAGGTCATTTAAATTATACTGCAGCCTAAAATTTGTTTCATAAATTTTGATATAAATACTAATTACACCCTCTCGGAGAGCCAGCAGGGTAGCATTCATTTATCACGTTTACACAACCTGCGATGACAGAAAGGGAAGGCAAAGGAGACTGGAGAGCTTTTTCCCAAGGACTGCTAAGGCTGGCAGAAGAGGCAGCAGGTTGCTGGGGTGGCGGGGAGAGGAAGAGTGAAGAAGAAATTCCTACCACAATCACTGAGATTTAAGAATCTTTAATAAGGTACGAAAGGTTACCAAACAGTTCTGGAAACTAAAGTGTACATAACGAGTTCTTCTAGCCATAAATATTGAATAGCTGTAACATGAATAAACCGGCCCTTTACATGCGGATAAATATGGAAACTAGGAATTATATACATTATGTGGTTGTATCTTTTGCCAAAAGCAACTGACAGTTATAGTTTATATCTTTTTTAATATCACTTTACATAAACAAATGGAACAGTTTTGACACGCAGATCCAGGCTCCTACTATACGAAATCTTGACAGAACGTGAAACAACATTTTACTGCACTAAAGTACTTAGACTTTGGGACGAAATGTTTGCACTTTATACAAAAAAAAAAACCACATTAATACCAATAATATTCTGTTAGGTCGACGTGGAGACTGTAATCGTACAAAGTAATTCACATTTTGGTACACATTTACTAGAACATTCTTGCCATTCAGTACAAACAGTTGGCTTTTGGCCGCCCACCCTTCCCCCCAACCCCGCCCTCCCGGCCCCTCCCCCCAAATGCAAAGACCACAACGCCACGATCCCACCCGCCCGTTCCAACTGAGATATAACTATTTACAGAATCCAACAGTACAGTTTTAAGCTAATAATTCTGTATTTACAAGAATGCAAAGAAGAAAAAAAGAAAGCCGAAGCCCAGAGAGCCTGTTCCAATTCTGATGAGGAACTGGCCTACCGGGTTGGCAGCATTTGGTCAGGCGGCCGCCTTCTCCCCGACCCCCATCCCGCCCCTTGGCTACCAAGCCACTGCCAAAAGGGGGGAAAAATGGAAAAAGGAGGGGAAATTAAAGGTCTGGTGCTTTATCTCTTACTCGGTCCTGGGTCTACTGGCAGGTTCAAAAAAATAGTATTGCGGGATGGGGGAGCTGTTTTGATTCGCAGGGTTCTTTCAGTAACATTTTGCATACGTGTGTTCAGTCTCTTAAATAGGTTTTTGATCGGCGTTTTGTTTCTGATTTTAAACGTACCATTCATTAAAATTGGAAGAGAGCGCGCTGTGGCCTGCTGTGTGGTGGACCGCGGACGAGGAGGGCGACAGGGAGCTGGTGGTCGGGTTGTCTGTGGAGGGAGACACGATGGTGGGCGGTGTGGAGGACTCGTAGCCCGAGCTGGCTGCCGGCGAAGGCTGCGAGCCCTGCGAGGAGGATTCGTGGACCTGCGGGAATAAAGTCGAGTTTTTAAGGAGATGAAGACCCGGAGCAGCAGCCGCCCAGGACCCGCGAAGGCAGCGCGCCGCCTCTCCAGGGAGCGCTGCAACCCCTCGACCTCCGCGGAGGCCTCGCTCGCGGGACTTGACTTGGGCTGGGTCGTCCTGCCCCGGCCCGGCAGAGGCAGTTCTCCAGAGAGCGATAGTGACCCGGGGGCTCCCAAAAGAAAACCAAACCTGCGAAGGAGGTGACTGAATTTGAGGCTAGAGCAGCAGATGTCCCCGCACCCACCTCACAGCCACTGCTTTGCTCGCTCAGATCTGCGGGCAAGACCCCAACTCTTCTGCCAACGCTGCCAGCCACAAGGGCGACACATTCGGCCGCGTCCTCCAGCTGGCGCAGCCCTAGCTCCCGGTCTGGGCCAAATTCAAATTCAGTCGCTGCCTCTGATCGAGTGTTCACTTCCTTTTTGCTTTTCTTATTAAATAAAACATTTAGAACGGTCTGGGGTCCTCCCACCCTCTTTTCTACCCCCGCCCTCTCTGCCCAGCCCCTCACCGCAGCGTGGAACCGATGCCTCTCAGCCTCCACCGGCTCCTGCCACCTCCCGGCTGCCACTCGCTGCCGGTCCCGGCCGAGGAGCAGAGTGGGCTCCTGGCGCGAAGGCGGGTGGCAGGAGCTGGGCGATTACCTTCATGTGTTTGCGCAGCGAGCTGGGGTGCGTGTAGGATTTATCGCACATCTTGCAGAGATAGGGCTTGTCGCTGGTGTGCACGTGCATGTGCTTCTTGCGGTCGCTGCTATTGGCAAAACGTCGGTCGCAGCCCTCGAACTCGCACTTGAAGGGCTTCTCCCCTGGCGTGAAAAGTGAGAAAGAGACAGGACTGATTAAAACAAGACCTGTGGTTGCATTTTTTTTTCATGCAAACAAATGAAAAAAATTAAAAAGGTTGCAAGCTCAAACACCCGGATCTTCAGTAAAGTCATATATATGCAGTAGATTTATAAATATCTTAATTATTTTTAACTACGAATCCAATTAAGTCTATATTTTTATTATTGTTGCTGCTCTTATTATTATTGTTCCTGTTAGATTTTTATTTTGTTTTATTTTTTTAAGATCCCTTAGCACTAGCAGGTTTTTCTGCTGGTGGCTATCCAAAGGACTTCGGGAGCCAGCACCTACCTTTTGGTTTCTAATTTTCACATTCCGGGCTGATTCTCCTGCTGTTTTGCTCTTCTCTCCTCCCCCAAAACCCCTCTCTGACGCTCTGCACCCCCTCCTCGCCTCCCCCACCCTACACTTTACACACACATTTTATAATGTAATCTGGGCCCAGAGCTCGGCGCCGAAAATTCTTCCCTGGCTGCGACGATAAACCCAAAGATCCATATGCGGTTATCAGAAGTCACCCGGGAAAATCAGAACAGGGAAGCAGACCTGATCCCAGCGTTGTTGGAGCAGCGGGCCCAGGATGGCCTGCCTGACCCAGACTACAGTCATGAGCTCGCCGCGAACTTTTCTTTTAACTGTTCCCGACCAGTTTCTATTTTAAAGGCCGATGTAAGGGATTCGGAGTTTTGAAAACCACCTCATAGGATTTAGTTGGCCAAAAAAAAAAAAAGAAAGAAAGAAAGAAAGAAAAAGACATCTTTGCCTTTCTTCGACACTCCCGACTCCTCAAGACTGCTCACAAACAGGTCACTACTAAAACTGGACGATTTAAATATGCACCAGCCTCCAAAAGCCTCCTCTGGTCCGCCTTGCTTGTTTTCACCACTTCCTTTCTCCTTTCTGTCTCTCTGTTTTTGTTTCTCTCTGGTGCCCCTTCACCCGATCTCCTTCAATTTCCTCAGGTCTTTCCTTTGGGAAAGACTTCACTAAGGTGCACAGAGGGGGACGTGGGCCGGAAGCAAATGTTTAGATTTAGATTTGTCTGCAGCTGGAGCTGCGGAGGCTGCCTCCGCCGCCGCCGCCGCTGCCTGAGCCTCCGGGAATCAGCCACCTCTCCCGGCTTCGTGCACGCCAAGGCTCTGCAAACCGGGTGTGTCTCTTGGCTCTCCCGGCTTTTATATTCCTCCTTTAAAAGTCTATATTCCAGGATCTTCCCTGTGCGCTCCTTTTATGCTTTTTCATAATTTAAGCACGAAACTAAGCACGAATCTGCGTAACTTTCTCTGCCTACCGGCTGGAACCTAACTCCCAGACCCAACCGAGGCCCGATTTTCGCGCCCCGACCACTGACTTTTGGATTTCGGGTGTTATGTCCGGGACCCTTAGGGAGACGGGGGCGGGGGGGTCAAGGACAGAGGTTTCCGTACCTGTGTGCGTCCTTTTGTGGATCTTTAAGTTCTCCGAACGCGCGAAGACCTTGCCACATCCTGGGAAGGGGCAGGGGAAGGGCTTCTCGCCCGTGTGTACGCGGATATGGTTGACCAGTTTGTATTTGGCTTTGAAGGGCTTGCCCTCGCGTGGACATTCCTCCCAGAAGCAGATGTGGTTACTCTGCTCAGGTCCACCGACGTGCTCCACGGTGACATGCGTGACTAGCTCATGCATGGTGCTGAAAGTTTTGTTGCAGGACTTTTTGGGGTTGGCCAGCTGCTCCGGCTCGATCCACTTGCAGATAAGCTCCTGCTTGATGGGTTGGCGCATGTAACGGAAGAAGGCGCCAGCGCCGTGATGCGCGGCCATGTTCACGTTCATGGGCCCGTAGCCGTGCAGCTGCGGCGCGGCATAGTGCTCCGAACGCGGGCTTGTCACCTGGCCGTACTGCTCGGGCCGCGGATACATGTCCCCCGAGAAGCCAAGCCTCATCTGCCCGTTCACCACGTTGGGCGACGCGTGGCCCGCCGCCTGCTCGTGAAGGCCAGGGAAGAGGAGGTGGCCCGCGGCGTCCGTGTGGCTGTGTGGGCCCCCGAAACCCCCGGCCGAAGCGGCGAACAGGCTGTGCTGAGCGCTGGCTGCTGCCGCCGCGTCGCCAAAGCCCCGGTTGCGGAACAGAAAATCCCGCGTGGAGTTGAAGGCAGCGCTCGAATAGGAGCCGACGTGGCCCGGGTGGTGGTGATGGCCAAGGGCTGCGGCCGCCGCGTAGCCGGGCGCCTGAGACGTGAAGGCCGTCTGGCCGGCTGAAGCCAGCTCGTGCGAGCTGGGGTTGAGCTTGAAGGCTCCCATGCCGTCGGCGAACGGGTTGATGCCCAGGCCTACGTCGCGCTCGGACACGTCGCCCGCGGAGTGGTGGCGGGATGCTCCAAAGGTGGTCACGCCGATTGCAGGGTACTGGGGGCCGGCGTCCAGGAGCATCGTGGCTGCTCCGGGCGAGCCCCGGCCTCCCCCGCCCCCCCCACCCTCGCCCGCCGAGAAGGGAAAAGCAGGAGGAGGAGGAATGGGAGGCGGAGGAAGAGGAGGAAGAAGATGAGGAGGGAGGAGGAGTCGACCCACCTCGCGAAGTCCTAGCCCGCAGGCAGCTGCGCTGCGCGCTGGGGAGCCCGCCTGGCCGAGCGCGGGGAAGCCGGACGGCTGCGGGCCGCGAGCAAGGCGGGCTCTGCCCGCCAAGCAGACCCTGCCGGCCGGGCTTGCACTTTCTCGCCGCTCAGTCTTTGCCGAGAGTGCCCCGCGTCAAAGCTGCCCAGGGAAAACCATGGAGCATCTCAGCCCCCCCAAAAAACTTCCTCCCGGATTTGTAGCATAGAGGAATGTGAGCGCAGGAGCCGCAACTGCTCGCTCTCTCTCCGCCTCGCGCCGTACGCCCCTCCTCACTTCTCCACTAGCCCCTCGCTCTTTCTTTTCTCTCTCTTTTCTCTCAGGCTCGCCTCTCTCGCTCCTTCACTCTCCTTTCTCCCCTCTGCTTTTTGCCAAAAAAATAATAATAATAAAATAATAATAATGAAAAGGGGGGAGCTAAAAAGCAAGAAAGAAAAAGCCAAAGAAAAGGCTCAAATCATGCACAATATTGTCTTTTGCGGTTTATCTTCCTGGGGAGAAACTTTCACCTCCTCAGCCGGGCGGTGAGCGCGAGACTGATAGCAGCAATCATTCCTGCAGATAAATGAATTGAAAGGAAGACACCGTCCCCCCCTTGATGAATGGGAGCAGGGGGAGGTGTCACGTGCTGCTGACGAGGGCGCCGATTGGTGCGTCCGCACTCCCCCCTGCCCGCAGCCGCCGCGCCAACTGAGGGCGCGCCGAGGCGCCGCGCGCAGTTCATTGGCCCGCCCGCCTCATCAATCCCAGGTATTGTAAAGCACTTGACATCCTCTTTTGACAAACCCGGCTGCCAGGAGTAGCAACTTTTTTTTTTTGGCCAAAAGAAAAATTTTTCTCCCTCTTCTCATGAAAAAAAAATTCTTTTTTTGCTACGTTCCTTTTTCATCTCGCAGTCACATACGTTTTCTCTCTCTCCTTATCCCTCTTCCTCCTCCTCCTCCTCTCTCTCTGTCTCTACGTGTCCGAGTCTCTCTCTGTCTCTGTCTCTCTCTGTCTCTCTCTGTCTCTCTCTGTCTCTCTCTCTCTCTCTCTCTCTCTCCCTGTCTTATATCTATCTTGTCCTTCCTCAAACCTGCTCTTGCGGGGCGGTTAGCGACTTCGGGCGTCCAGGAGTGCAGGAGGCGGGGATGGGGTTGGTAAACACAGCAAAGACACTTCCAGAATGTCCCGATTCAGCAACTTTCTTTTCTTTGGTTCTCCCCTCTCCGCACCCCCCCCCCCTCCTTCAAGGGCTGCAAAGGAGGCTTTTGTTATTTGCTCCTTTTGAAGTTTTCCTCCCTCATGCCTCGTCCCCCTCCTGTTTATAATTTAAGATCTCGGAACACATGGACACTCCGCTCTCTCTTTTCTAGAAATGGGATTCCTCAGGATAACCAATGGCCTTGATTTTCTTATTTTTATCAAATCAATCAGGTTTCCTGCATCCATCCTATCCCCCATTCCCAAATAAGCACAGGTAGATGAGAGCTCTTAACTTTCCAGATTATTGGGGTGTTTATTTTTAAAATGGCAAATTGGAAACACTGTTGCTGATTTTCCTTTTTTCCTCTCCTGTGTTATTCTTCTCTTTTCTCCCTTTTCCCTAGTCTCCCTCGTCTGCCCCCAATGACCCTCTCCTTCTGCACTCCTGTTCCCAACCGGGGCCCCTTTCATTCAGGTAAAACTGTAAATTTCCCAAAGCGCCATTGTTCTTCAGGACTGTCCAAAGCTCCCTAGAAATCCCGAATACTTTTTTAGCATTTAAATCCCCGATAGATAGAACCAATGTAAATTTTGTGACATTCAAACCTTTTTTAGTTCACAAATCAGTCACCCTTGTCACAGTTATTGAAATTCCGCAACTCGCCACACCAGGACGGTGGAAAAAGCGGGCGCGGTCTTTGTTGCCGACCAGGCTTTTGATCGCCAGAGAAAATTTACTTACCTTCAGATGAGTGAGCAGAAAAAGAAATAACACTCCCTTTGATTTAGTTAGGAAAATGCAGACATTTGGATTCAGTGCAAACATACAACACTCGCTTGTTTTCGCGATGCGGCCCTCGATTAACCTGTCTTTGCCCAGCGCAAAGTCTATTCAACAACTGCGCGTAGTTGCTTTTTGTCCCGTCCACAAAGAGCCATTGACCATATATTAAAATGATTGTTGAAAGGTAGAAGAGTATGGCACTTAAAAGCAGGGGGAAAAAAATCCGTGACTCAATCAATTAAGGCGAGTAACATTTATGCATTTCAAAAAATGCACACGGATGCGGGGGTTTGGGGGGGATAAAGGTTGCATTTCTCCGCAGCTCTGTTTAAAACCCAGCAGCCCGGCCTGAGGGTTTAGTCCAAGTGTCTGCATATTCATTAGGTCTAATTATTTTCTAGTAAGGAAAACACAAAAAGCCAAGAGTCGGAATCCTTCAATTTGCCCTTTGTTTCTAACTTCATTTGGCTTATTTGCAGCTGAATCGGAGCCCTAAACTCTTTTCGCAGACAAAGAAATCTCAACTCATCCTTTCACAGGCAGCCCAGTTAAAAAACTCACCAGTGGTTGGAAGAGAAGAAAATGAAAATGAATTTGTTTTGCCCGGTCGCCCGCCTTAGCTAGCTGCACAGGCTGGAGGAAGGCAGGATCGGAGCTGGCCGTTCTTAGCCTTTCTGGTTTTCTGGTCTTTTCATCAACTAGACTTTTGCCTGGGGTTGGCGAGCTGAGCTTCCCTTCTCTAGGCTCTCCCCGATCAAAACTCGACTTGTGTATCTGGGGTGGTTTCCCCGTGTCTGAAAGGACCTGGGGGAGCATTTGTGCTTGTGCTGGGAAAGAGACATTGAAGCAAGAAAAAAAAAATCAAATATTCTGTTCCTAGCAACAAGTCGGAGCGCAGCAGCCAAGCATTCCCCACCAACTTTGGACCAGGGATGGGGAATGATAGAAAAGGGCTCAGGCTTGAGGGGTGGTTTTTAAAAAAATTATACGCTTTGAGTAGCTTTGATATATCTTTTTTTGAACCAAGTGATTTCTACTGCCTACAAGGGGAGGTTGGATCTTTACTCCAATGCAGTTATAAAAACCTTATCTGCTAGAAGTTTTCTCTAGAGGCTGTACTGCTCTCACTAGGGAGAACAAATATTGAACCCACCTCTCCTCCCTCTCAAAAAAAAAAAAAAAAAACAAGGGAGGGAACATGAGGGGGAAGGGTAGCCATTGGGAGGGAGAGAGAAAAAAATAATTCTTCAAAAAAGAAAAGTCAGTCTTCTCCTCTCCAGTCCGTGAAAAATCCAATGGGGACATTGATAAGAGAGTATTTTTAGGAAAAGAGTCCAAATATTCAGGGTACGAGTGAATGCGTGGGGAGGGGGGAAAAGTTGTGGGTTGTAGAAGTTATCAAGTGGGATTTGCGGCGCTCTCTGCAGGAAACCAAAGCGGCTCCAGTTCAAAGCCACATGCACCAACGTGACATATAAGCCATTAAAATATCATCCTGACGGCTCATTTCTGCTTCATCATACATTCCTAACTGCTTCCCGAAAGCTGGAAAAAGAGAAATGAAGGATGACTGCCTCACTGGAACCACAAAAGAGAGGCTTGGAGGGGTGTATGGTCCCCCCTCAGCCACCCCAAAGTGATGTGCAGAAATGAGGCGATCCCAGCAACAGGTGGAGCGAGGTAAGTGCGTGAGTCCACGGGGCAGACAGGACTTGTACCCTCAGCAGTTGGCTAACAAGCTCCCTTATCGGGACCACTGGCACCCAAACCCCACTGGGGGGGAGGCCCATCTAGACTTTTTCCCCTGATCCCCTCCCTCTTTAGCCCCCCAACCGTGGATATTGGCCCCACCCCAGTGACAGGGAGGGGAGGAGGGGGCTCTTCTGCCTGGGGGCAGCGATGGGGATGAGTCCATTCCTTCTCCCCAGGAGAGGGGGGCAAGGGGAAGGAATGGAGCTTCCACTAGCAAGGAGACCAAGAGCAGCTGGTTGCGGGCCCGCCCTCCCTACCTCATCTCCTTGTAAATTGCCTGGGTGTCCCACCGTGAGCACGGGAATGGGAGTAGTGGCCCTGAACTTCCCTCGCGCCGAGTAAGCGGGCCCGAGAAGGCAGCTTCTCTGCTTTGCCCCTGGGAGGATGGCTGGAGGAACTCGGCTTCTCCTCCCCAGGGTCAAAGAAGCCAAGTTAGCCTGGCTGGCAGAAAGATGATGGAACTTCTCCGCCCCAACGTGACCGCGGATTCTGGCTGGGTCAGCCGCGAGGCTGGATCCTTGCCCTCGCTGTTCCCGGTCCTGCCTCAGGACGCTGAATGCTGAGATCCGCTCTCTGCGCGCCGCCTGCCGGGTTTGGGACTTGGCTTTCTTTCTCTCAAGTGCAAACGAAGGCTAGGACTAGTTCTCCTGGGAGCAGGCCACAGCCACCTATGATTCTGGGCACTGCCCTAGACAACGCGGGACACTGTAAATTACAAGAAAGGAGGCCCGAACGGGGTCGGCTGTGAAAACCAGGACTACATCAAAGCCTTGACGGGGAAAGCTTGGGGTTGATGAATTGTCCATGGGGACGGTTGGGACCTAGCTAGATCTTAGGAATGGAGAAGGGGAGCTGGAAGTTGCACCTTGGCTGGCACCATCTGCCAGGAAACCCCTTTGGATTTCAAGGTCCTATTTCTCCTCCCTTGGGGAGAAAATTTCCGACTGCACTGGCAGCACAGCAATCCACAGGGAGGTACCACCTTCCCTTCCTCGATCTAGCCGTGGGCAGATTGGGAGGGGGGGCGGTGGTTCCAAGGGATAGTTAAATATTCAGGCTGGTGCTTCAGGCGACTAATACAAACTCTACTGTGGACACAGGGAAGTCGCCTAGCCTTCAGCCCCGGGCTGAGGAAACCCGAGATCTTCCCTCTAGGAAACAGAAGAATAAGAAAAGGCCACCACAAGACCCATCCTCGCACCCCAACTTCCTGGTATTGGAGAGCCTGGTAGAGGAGAGACAGGGAGGTGCGGGGTGCAGCTGACAAAGGTGGGGAGACCTTTTGGCTTTGGCTTTGGAGCTCCTGGGCCGTCTACAAGGGCACCTGCTCTGCATCCGCATCTGCTGAGCTGTGGCGGACAGGGGAGCATGGCTGCTTCTTGGGAGAGCCTGCAGGTCAATCAGTGTGGAGCAGCATTGAAGGTTTGGGGACTAGAGTGCTTAGCTTGAGAAGCAGGCTGCAGGTGACCTCAGACCTTGAATAAGCCACACATGCTAAGGTAAACCCACAACATGCAGCCTCTGTGTTTCACAAGAAAAACTGTGCCTTTGCATGTACCCACTGGCCTACCTTCTTGGCTTTCCACCAGCATGATTAATTTACTTGGGCTTGCTGGGACCTCTTCCTCCTCTCAAGGTATGGAAAAGCAGGGAGATTCTAATAAATCTCCAGATTGTGTTCCTGACTGTTGATTCAGTGGCTGGGGCTGGTGTGAGAAGACAAGTCAGGAGTCATTGGAGGGATAATCAAGCCTAGCATTTTCAAGGCTTTTAAATTCTTACAGTGGTGGGGATCTCAGGTCTAGAGGCCCAGGGTCTGCTCCCAATTCACTCACCCCTTCTTCAATGGGATGAGTAGCTTGCTAAGTAGGGTCGGAGTATGAACCAAAGGAGAAGATATTTACCCTTGCTCCCTGCTCTGGCTGGTGATGGAGCTGTTACAGAGAGCAGCTTAAGGTCCCAGTTGCCTGCCTGAAGTCCAGCCACTGCAACACTTGTTTGCATGCCTGTGGGTTTGTAATGCACAAAAGACTGCAGGACCTGGGAATGGAAGTGACACAGGCCTCTTAAATGCAGGGTTTGGGCAGCATTGTGGGTGGACAGAACTCTCCAGGGAAATTCACACCCATTTTCTTCAGAAGCAAAAAGTAAATTCTATTAGTTCCAACCAACCAGGACATTTTTCACACCAGATATCCTACCATGAGGAAATTTTAGAGTAAAGGCACCCAGCATGCCACTCTGTAAGAATGTAAAGTTGAGCCTCCTTTCTCTCCTGATTTGTGCGGGGAAGAAGCTTAATACCTTTGGGGACGAATGCCTTTTGGTTAAAGAGAATTGAAAATAAATAAAACCCTTTGGGAACCGGTGAGTCTACACCCTTACCCCAGCCCCTACCCCTCAGGCTTAGATCTAGAAAAGAAGGGAGAGGAAAGGGTGAAAACACCAAGCTATCTCAAGCCTGGTTTGGGGGTTGAGGGAAAGAGATCTTTGAACATAGAGAACTGGAAAGTCTTTGAGATAGCAGAGCCCCGCTTGGATTTAGCCTGTGGTTCAACAAGTTAAACAACTGCTTGTTCTGTGGGCTGGAGTGTCAAGACAAGCAGACTTCCTCATTGACAGAGGGCTAGCTGTGTTTGTCCAGCCTGAGACCTTTTCAATGACTGTTTGTCTTTCTAGGCCAAATTGAGGGCTGGGGATGGGTGGATTGCCTGTGTTTTGCTGCTCTGATGCCTTTCCTCTCCTGACAGATGCAGAGGTCGCTGGGGTGGGTTTCAGGCTTTAAGATGGCCAAAGCCTCAGTGGTTCTATTAGCAAAGTGAATCTGATAAAGTATGTAAATATCTTGAGGGGAGGGGTCAGGTTGTTTCTGACTTTCTTTAATAAGAAATGAGACAGCCAGGGCCAGATGATAGAAATGATACCCCCCCCCCATGTGGGGAATTTTATATTAACTTTGAAAAATCAAGCAGTGATGAATTCTGGAGGAAGAAGCCATGTAAGGGATTGCATACCACCAGGGTAGAACAGGATCTAGACATTTGCAAAGAAATTCCTTTACTCCCAGTTTCAATAGTTACAACACAATTTTTAATCGGCTAACCTCCCAGCCTTTCCCATTACATCTCACTAAACTCCATAAACTGAAAAAAAAAAATGAAGGCTTCTCATAAAATAAATTCAAATTCTAAAAGTTAGAGATGTTTGAACACTGACTGGCCGAAAGGGTGCTTAATTCTACACGTAAGGGAGATCAATACATGTATTTTAGACAAAAATCTTATTGGGAGATTATGACTTTACTATTTTTTTATCATCAATGATACATTGTTTTGCAATAAATAAGAGGAGATCTCTCTCTCTCTCTCTTTTAATGCCAAATTTGAAAATGTTCAAAGACAGACTGAAAGACTTCAAATCAACACTTTCTTTCACTCACACATGCAGGCTACAAAATTTTGTCATACAAACATGTATAAAATTATTCACCTAGTGACTGACCCTCTTTTTTTTCCCTAATAGGCTCAAAGTAAGAAAATGAGATACAAGACTTCTCTGGTGATGAGGAAACGATTAAGACTTTACCGAAATGCTCTGAAAGAGTCAAGTAAGTTATAATCTTATTTTGAATTTTGCTTTGCTGAAGTTACTTTTTTTTAAGTAGGAAGTTTGGTTTTATCTTTTGCTTATGTTGGTTGTGAGTTTAGGGATGTTTCTTGAGTTCAAATGAAACTTCGAACAACATCTTGGTGTTTCATGCTTTTGCACACAAATCAGCTACTCAACGTCCCACCAGCATCTGACTAACCTCCCTCAATGCCTACTCATCTGGACATTCTAGAATTAATATTTGATGACTCTCTCATTGAAACAACCACCCCTGACCTTCTGCAGTTCCACTGTCACATTATTCTATGACATATTCATCTTGAATTCATTTCCAGACGATTTGATTGGAATAAGGTTTGACATGTATTGGCTTCCATGAAAGAAGCAGACTTTGATCTTGGTGATGGGGTTTACATGATATGCATCATCTTTACCAGGGACACCAGCCTTCTGCAATGTGGTGGTGATGACATTCCCACAATGTGGTGTCTGAACAGGGAGTGACTGACAGCCGCTTGGTCAGGAATGCCTTCATTGTGAACAATTTAATTTAATATTCCATTTAGAATAAGCATATGATTTAGGGTTGGGTGTTTCCCCTTCCAGGCATATAGTTTTCCTCATTTCAACCACACCACCAGCTGACGGTTGCCCCCAAGATGCTTCTTTGTTGATAGGAAAAGCAACCTTCTTAACAAAAGTTAAATGACAACTCAGGAAATGGCTCTCTTCTATTATTTTGGGTTGATTTGATGGCAGAATTCCCAAGAGAAATGTGGTTATTATGTAAATTCAGTTATTTTAGTTCCTCAATGCTGTTCTGAAAGATCTTTTAGTCATGCTTTTAATCTTTTGCTAAAAGATGTTTTATAGAACCATTGCTTGAAAATTAAATTCTATCCAAGTATATTTTCTTGCATATTCAGTCCCATCAATGATGAACCAAACCCAAACTTGCATAGCAAAGGGAAGGAATGTCTTCCAAATTCTGATAGATCTCATCTTCTTTGTACAATCTGGGCCTGGACATACAGTGACTCCTAGGATCTTAAGTTATTATTTTGCCATAAGAAAAGAGACAAACTCTCAATGTAGAAATCCTGAAGTCTGTCTGTGAATAGCCTATGAAGAGATTTGGCCCTCATTTTTGGATGGTAACCTGGTCAGAAACAAGGCGGGGGGGGGGGGGGGAGAGGTTGAACAAGTCACTGCAGATCTAGATACAGAACATTCATACAAAATGGCTTATGCTTGGCCAGGCTCTGTGCAATGGCCCTCAGCTAATAGAATACTGGTTCACACCAGTATATAACCTGAAACAGATCATCATTATTTAGCATTGTTTAAAAGAACAAAATTGAAAAATAGCCCAGTTATGGTTCTGAAATTTCCCCCATTTCTTTCCTTTCCAAGGGAGAAGTCAGGCATTTTTCTCATTTAAGCCACTGATGTGAGGAGTTCTGGCAGATGGTAGCATCATCAAATGTCATATGTCTATACAACAGGACTAGAAAATCAGTTTAGTTTATGCTGTTGCATTGGCCTGGCTGGGACAAACAAGGGTAGTGAGGGCATGATTCTGGGCACTGGGGGGATGTTTAGGATCTGTTGGTGAAATGTTTTTCGAACAGGTACCCAAGAAAGCCTCCAGAGCTTCTTTGACCTCTGCTGAAAGATCTCTGGACTGAAGAATGTCTTTTTAAAATGCAAATCAAGCTGGAAAGTAGACTGAATGATGCTGTAAACTCCAAAATTGTTAGGAAAAGAATGTTCCAGCCAAGCATTTGATATTGGGAGTAAGTGTGATGAGATAACTTTCTGAAAGAAAAATTCTGATGACCACTGAGGGGGATACTACTCCTCAGCCTGCCCAATAAATAGTCAGTGACACCTGAACTCCTTGATACCTGAGCACTGGGAAACTAAAAGGAGTGTGTATAAAAACTAAAATATGCCTCCCTGGCATTGGTGCCCCACCTGTCTTTTGTGGTTAGCTGGATACTGCTTTAGTGGTACTTTCAGAGATAAGCCTTGAAGACCCTCATGCAATTATGCAAAGTTCCCTGTTTAGAAATATTAGTGGGTAAAATAAATTTTTTCCTGCCTATCTCTGTCCCTTGGGAAATGTCCCTGCTAGAGAATGTCTGGTCCCATTCTATGTTTAGCCAACCAAGGAGTGAACCTTGTGGCTCCGGGGAACTTGCAAGGATCAGGCAATCTCACTGACCTGCAGGTTGACTGACCCCTGACTACTCAAGAAGCATCAACCCAGGATGAGTCCAGATGTTTTCAGTGCTTCAAGAGAAGGCTGCATCTGGGAGGGAGTTCCATGGGGCCAGGTAACTGTCGGTGAATTTGGCTGAATCAGATGTATCTACCCTTTTGCTGTTGGCACAGAAAACCATACACATGTTCAAAGTTTTTCAGGGTAAAGTTATTAAAAGGGAGCATGTAGTGTACTAACAGTTCCTGTGTATAAAACCCCTGTTTCTTATCCCTGGAGTCCACAGACTCAATGCTTAGAATTCAAGGACTGCAAATTTGAATGAGGGAAAAAAAGCATCTTTATTTTCACCACCTTTTAATGGAAAATAATCACTTTATTCTATTACAAATGTGGGCAAGAAACACAGTAATATCAAAATTCACTAGATTTACCAGGGTCCCAAAAGGATATGCAGACTAAAATGACTTAAATGTCTTTGTTCTGTAGAGTTATTCAAAGATTTTGATGCAGGTGGGGTCAAGGTGTTTATATGAAGAGATACATACTTGTGTAAATCAGATTTTTAATGGTAGTCAAAGTGGAGGGTGAGTTTGACAAACATCTAAACAGTAGGTTGTCGATCAGCTAAGTTCAGGTGGGAAATAAAATATTTTAATTGCTGAGCTGCTGCAGATGCGCCTTGTGCTGAAGCCTGAGTGCTGCAGGAGGAGATGACTAAGCTCTGTGTTGAGGGATGCTTAGGGGAAACAGCTGGCCACGGGGTCCCAGGGAGGAACACACACGCTTGGGTCTTTGGTTTTGATCTTTGTTATTTTTGGAGCCCTGCATGGGTTCAGCCCCCACTGGCCTAGAAAACTGCATCATTCAACAGACACCTGAGCAGTGGGGAGCCTTGAAACCACTCACTGACATTAAGAACACCTCGCAAGAGGTAGAGATCACACCTGACCCGGCTTAGAGGAAAGAAAAACAGGGCAGGTGACCAAAGAGAGGAGGGGCCTGTAGGCTGAGGGGTGAATCCCAAAAAGTGAGAGTGTGGGAGAGGGTGAAGGCCAGGAAAGCAGACAAATCCCTCAAAGTCTAGTCTCAATACTTCTGTGGGAGCCCTTGGTTTCCAGAACAGACCAGGAGTGGGTTGTCAAATGCTCTCCTTCAACTTTTTTTTTTTTTATGTTAACAGTGTCTATTGGGTAGCATTGCTTAAGCTCTTCTGGCTAGAGCAGCAGAAAGACCTGCACTTGTCAAAGCCAGGGGAAGCTGTTGTGAAAGTTAATCACCAAAATGCGCTCCAAAGGGGAACAATGCATTAGGTGAAGAAAATCTCAAAGAACCTGCCAGCCATTATAAATTAGTTCATTACTTTTTTAAAAAGAAATATTTATTCACTGACCATGATCTGTATGAGAATAGTCCTTGCTGCTGACAATGGGTGGGGCAGCTGGATAAACCCTGAGTCCAAGTTCCCTGCAATCTGTCCAAACTTTTCACCTTTACTAAGGGTTCAAGATCTTTTACTCAACCATTTAAACTTCTCTTAAAAAAACTTTTCTCTGAGTTGGGGTGCTTTCAATAGCCAGCAGGGAAGCCCAAATACTTAGGTTGGCATTTTTGGCTGGAGACAAGGCAAGAGTCGAGGCCAGCAGGCCTTCAAATTGCCTGGCAATATAGGCAGCCCTAGAGGGTCAGCACAAATAAAGGATTCATCCCTCCTAGCCACACAGGGCTGGGCCAGAACTGAACTTTCTTTCCCACCTGCCACCCCGCCCCCCACACCAAGACTGTGGAACCTGAAGCTAGGGAGTGCATCTGCCATAGGAGGACATGGACCCTCAGTCCCTCTTTACAGCCTAGGTCCAGCAACGTGGCGTCCACTCTGCTTAGAGCCCTGGAAGCAAACAGGAAGAAGGCAGAGACTCTGGACACGGGCAACAAGTGGCAGGGGTTGAGAGTGTAAGTGGCCCCTAAGTCCCCTTTCCCAAAGGCTCTGTCTGGCGGAAGGGTCTACAGAATTCAAGACCTGACAGACAGTAACAGGGAAGTGAGGAAATGTTCCTTCTTGCTACCCTCCCCTTTGTTTCTTTGGCCAGTCCGCCCACGGTTCTGTGTGGTTTGTGGCTGGGACGATTCTTAGCTCCTATCTGGAGGTCTGTGTGGGTTTGAAGTCAGGCTCTGCAGGTCATCACCTCCTCTGGCCCACTCCTGGCTCTGGTCAGGGCACGGTTTTTGGGTTCAAACCTCCGTGAGAGCGCCAGGCACCGGGAGGAAGCACCGCCAAGGCTAAGCGGATAAAAGGAATGGGAAGGGGAAGGGGGGGGGGGAGGGGAGAAGAAAGGATACAAGTTGGAAGGCGTGGTGTGGTCTGGGCTTTGGGAGAGGGGTGAGTGTGTCTTTTTGAGAAAGAGAGAGAGTGAAAGAGAAGGGGAGAGAGAAAGAGATACTTCGGAGAAAGAAAATAAAATTAAGCTCAAAGGCTGCTAGCCTAGGAGCTCTTTTGCTTCCGACCGCCTGTGCTGCAGCGATCTTTTCTCCCTGCCCCTTGGACAAACCGCCGAAACCTGCCCAGTGCGCCAGGTGGCCGGGTGCTGCCCATCAGCCCAGGCAAGGCTGGGTGCACTAGGGCTGCCCCGAGGAGGTGTGCAGAGCAACACTCCTCCCCAAAGTCGTGGAGAATGAAGGCATAATCAAGACCCACTCACTTCCAACAGCAGACCCACCCAGCTTTAGGCAGCGGAGGGGGAGGAGGCTCGGGAGGACCGAAAAGCGTCCGTACTCGGGTCAGAGCGCATGAGCAATAGAAGCAATACTCGCTGTGGGGCGAAGGAGGGCGAGGCTGGAGGAGGAGCAGGAGTTGTGTGTGTGTGTGTCTGTGTGTGTGTGTGTGTGCGCGCGCGCGCGCGCGCGTTTGTGTCCGGGTGCGGCGAGACCTGTCATCGCTGACGTCGGGCCGGGCGGCAGGCCAATGGGCGACCTAGACGATTGTTCCTCTCCGCGGGCCCCGGCAGCAGCCCGAATCTCCATTCACACCCTCACGCGCCCCGCTGCTGCCTCTGTAGTGTACGGGTTTCAAGTAGGCTTTAAAGACTGAGAGAGGGGGTTGGGTGGAAGACACAATTCAAAACTTGAGTGGGGGGGGGGGTGCGGAAACTTCGCAGAAGCTTTTCGTGGTTGTTCTTTCCCCTCCACACTGTCAGGTGATGGTGGCCTGAACTGGCCGACGTGGAGAGCTCCGGGGAGTGTAAGCCCGGATACAGCAGGCCGCCCACTCCCAGCGGAGCTGGGCGCTGAAATTAGTATATATGGCCCAGGCGCTTCAGCACTATCACCACCAAGTACAACATCCCCACTGCCCTCAGCCCCACTACCACTCGGAGCGCTGGGACCCCGAGCGCCCCAGAGAGTTGGTCGCCGAAGTGCGCTTGGCGAGCAGGTCGGACCTCCCTGGAGCAGAGCCCGGGGACTCCCAACAGCCCTCAGACTCAGCGCTGCACGCCCCACCGTCCTTTTCACTTGCTGTGCCGCCACCACCTATCCCTCTCAGGTTCATGGAGCGCCAGGGGGCTCTACCCAACAGCCATCCAGCCCAACCTCAGCGGAGGCGCACAGCCTCGCGCGGTCTACCCAGTTTGCAGTCGCCGCTGTCTGGCTCCAGGTCCCGGCGCTGAAGGCAGGGGCCGTGGTGCGGCTGGGCTGGGCCTGCCCCCCGGGGCCAGGTGGAACGCTCAGCTCTTGCTCCCGGTTCTCACTCTCGCTGTTTGTCTCGACAACAGGTAGTAGCTTCGGACACCATGGCCCCCAGCTTGGTGCAGCCTCCAGCCCCTCGGTGTTCCCTGGCCTTCAAGAACAACCTCCCCAGGCCTCCTCCAGCAGCACTTTGAACGGACTCCTGCGTCTGGGGCTCCCCGGAGAAATGTACGCGCGGCCCGAACCCTTCGCGCCGGGACCCGTAGCCCGCAGCGATGCCCTGGCCGCTGCAGCGGCCCTGCACAGCTACGGGAGCATGAACCTGACCGTGAACCTCGCAGCACCCCACGGTCCCGGCGCCTTCTTCCGCTACATGCGCCAGCCCATCAAACAGGAGCTCATCTGCAAGTGGCTGGCTGCGGAGGGCCCCGCGCCCCGACTCCTCTGCTCCAAAACTTTCAGCACCATGCACGAGCTGGTCACGCACGTCACAGTGGAGCACGTCGGCGGCCCGGAGCAGGCCAACCACATCTGCTTCTGGGAGGAGTGTGCGCGCCAGGGCAAGCCCTTTAAAGCCAAATACAAACTTGTAAATCACATCCGCGTGCATACGGGCGAGAAGCCCTTTCCCTGTCCTTTCCCGGGGTGTGGGAAGGTCTTTGCTAGATCAGAAAATCTCAAAATACACAAAAGAACTCACACAGGTCAGTATTCGGTACTATCTCAGGCGAATCCTCTGGGGAAGCAGGCGGCCTCTTCCGGGACCTCGGGCTGGATTTCGTCAAGTTCCACCAGAGGAGAGGGGGGATATTTTGGTGTTTCCATAAGCCAAGTTCATAAAAAATTAATTACACCCTTCTATTAGAGTCACAGAAGTCCTCAAAGCTGATAGTGAGGAGGATAATACGGGATTTCTGCTCTGGGGAGCGAGGATGAACGTGCTTGGGTCTCTGGGTGTGCAAATGTCTGCTTGCTACTGGTTGAGTTTGATTTTAAGGTATTTAAAATAGCACTGTTTCCCAAAGTCTTAAAGACATAGGAGCAATTTAACTTTTTCCTGGTTTCTTTGGCGAGCACTCCTCCAGCCTAACAACCTGACCACCACCTGAACTGAGTCATCCGGGCCTAGGCGCCTTCTTTAGGATTTGGGGTCCATGGCTGCCTTTGGCCCTGTTTTGGAGTCTCGATGACTCGACACTTGGGACCTTTGAGAAACTCTCCCTTCTGCATTAGCAGAGATCCAAGGAGACTCATCACCCTAAATGTCATTTACGGAGCTGTTAAGTGAAATGGGGACATGTGTCAACCACATCTGTTAGTTCTAGTTAACAGAAAGAAAAGGAGCCAGGGCAAGAGCCTGCAAAGTTGAACTTCTCCGGCCAGAAGCATCTCTAATTAATGCGATTGCAGGGAGAAAGTTTTCACACTTCCCAGAACAGACTGTGAAGTTACATTAATTAGTTTAGCAGCCAGATGTTTGTACTCTACTTAGCTAGGATTTTCTTGCTCCCTCCCACCCCAAGTTTGAGCAACATCTCCCCTCCCCTGTTTGTTTTTGTGCGTTTGTTTTGTTTGTTTTGGTTTTTTTGCAGTGGGGTGGGTGAATTGGGGGTGAGGTAAGGGGACCGTTGTTCTAGCCTAATGCCCCACTTCTACTCTCTGGACTCTGCTTTACTCACCTCTATTATTAGTGAAAATTGTTGGTAATTATTAGAACCAAAAAAGCTCCCTCAGGCTGGCAATGCTTGGGAAAGAAGCTTGCGAAATCCCGCATTCTGCTACAAACCCTGCCATCTTGGGGAAGGTCGGTGGCCAGGACCCAGGCACACGCGGAGGCCAGACCAAAGTCCACGTTTAGTCAGTCTCCCACTTTATTTCCGAGCATGTCTGGAAACGTATTGTTTCCCGGAGCTATTTCCAGGATGCCTCCCCTTCCCGAGCATTTTCCCTTCCTGCCCCCACCTCAAAGTTTCGTGGGGGGAGGGGAGAGGCGGGAAGAGGCAAGGAACTGATCACCGCCCCCAGGCCGGCTTCTCTGCAAGCCGGCGTTCCACGTCGCGAAGGTAGACACGCTGTCCTAAGCCAGAGAAGGAACTCATTTTTAATGACGGGGGAGTTTTAAACAAACAAACTTGTACTGCTCTTTGCCGGCCTACTGTTTGAAGTCCGTGAAGCAGAAAATGGTTAAATTCTTAGTGCAATCGACCTACAGCAGAGAAGCAAGTTCAGTGTGCCCGGGCTGGCTCAGGCTTACTTCTATTCAGGACAGAATTTTAACTACGTCTTTTCCACTGGCAGTCCTGATTCATTATCGCTGCAGTTAAAAAAAAATCTACAGTCTCTCTTGGTCTACTCAGGCGTTTCTCTCAACCCCCCTCCTAAATAATGAAAAGTTGGGGGGCGGAGAAAACCAACAAAATGTTTTTCAAATGGCAATAGACCTCACTACAAATTATTCATGAAGACAGTTCTCGATTCAACAGGAAAATAATTGCCTTTTCAAATATTAATGGCGTTTCATTTCCTCGAATCGCGGAAGTGGCGAAGAGGAGCTGAAGATTTCTCCGGAGTTAAAATCCTTCCAGATCCGAATCCCGGGCCGGGCGGGCTCGCCCCGCGGCGGTCGCTGCAGCCCCGGAACAATGGTGCCGCCGCTCGCTCCGGCCTGCGGCCCTGCACCCCGCACCCCGCACCCGGAGCCCTTCCCAGCCCCCGCGCTGCGGCCTCGCCCAGCCACCGAGGCAGCGGACTGAGCGAGAGGCAGGGCTGGGGGTCCGAGGCAGAGCGGAGACCGCGCGGGGGCGGGACGACCCGGTTCAGCCACTGGCGCGGGAATATGGCGCCAGCGCGTTGCCCCGCCGCCGCAGCCACCGAACTTTGTCCTGCAGGACCCGCTCGGGGCTGGGAAGGGGCCTCTCTCCGTAGTTAGGCTTCTGGGAGGAGACCGCGGGCCTTTCACCGCTCAGCCCCAAGCCCAGGGTGCTCGGGTCACGCTGCAGGGGCCAGGACTCCCTCGGCCTCCCCACAGGCACCCGCAGGGCTCGGGGCCCAGACGTGGCGAAAGGGAGCGAGCGGAAGGCGGTGCCGGGGGCGGAGGTTCAGGGCGAGTGTGGACCAGGCGACCCGGGCGCCTCCAGCCACTGGGGGAGGCCGCGAGGCCGCTGGGGCGCAGCCTCACTTGGCCTCCCAGGGGTCCCGGAACTTCCAGGCTGCCCGAATTACCTTCCGTGCCCGGCCTTTTTCCGCCTCTACTCCTCGTCTGGGACGAAATTACTGCTTCTGTTTAACATGAATGTACAACGAGGCACTCACAAGATGGGATAAGTGGGGGGGGGGGGAGCACAATCAACCTTAAATTCCAGTCCTCCTCTGTTTTCTTAGCAAATCTTATTTTCTTTGGCAGGCCCTGAAATGCATGGTTCTTGTAAGATTTTAGAAAGAAAAGAAAAAAGGAGGAAGAAAAGTTTTAGTTTGGCAGGGATTAGAGGGACGAAAACGAGGGGTCAATAGAGACACTGATTTACTTTGCTTGCTTATTTATTTATTTCTTGAATAAACCTGTACCGGCGTCCCAGAAACAGCAGGTTCCAGCACTGCTCGGTGCGCCGCTGCACTAGAACTAGTCCTGCAGGAGGAGGGCGCAGCGACCCACTCACAAACCTCTGCTGCAAAGAGGCGAGGGTTGTGCGCAAACCTCTGGCTGAACCTGAGCGTAGGCGAGGATAGGGAACAGGGGCTTTGTTTGTGCAAACCTGTCCCCAGAGCTCCTGGCTTTCCTGGAAGTCGCGGAGAAGCCACCACAAAGGCAACAGTTCTCCAGCCGTGTACCTTTCTCCTCAGCCAGAAGCGCCGGGCGACATCCAGTTGTTTAAAGTGCCTGGACACTTCCTCCCCTCCATCCCGCCACATCTGCAGCTCCAGCCGCGACCCGGGCTTCCGGGCTCTCGCGGTTCTTTCCTCCCCCACACGCCTGCGGAACCAGCCGGCGCTGAGCTTCCGGATGGGAGCTTGGTCGTGGGCCAGTGTTTCCACCCTAATGTGCGCTCGCGCCTTCCCGCGGTTCTGCAGAGCATCGCACCAGGAGTGGCGTCCCTCGCGGGGCTACACAGGCTGTCCGCTGGCCCTCGGTCCGTGGGGACGTGCCTGGCCTGGCTGCAACAGCTGCTCTCACACCGAAGCCGCCTTGATCGTGCGGTTGCGTGATACACTGCGGAGCATGCCCGTCCCGGGCGGATCCTGCCGCGCGGGCCTCTTCACTGAGGCTGGCGAGGCCGGACTCCCGGGTGTGGTGGCCTGGGGGGGGGGGCAGTCAACCTCTTAGGCAGTGGGGACTGGGAGAGCTGGCTGCTCGCGGTAGCTTCTCCAGGAGGCCGCTGGAGCAGCATAATAAAATAGTATTCGTGGCGCGCATAGGTAGCGGGATCCCGGATGGTTCAGGCAAGATTTGAAGAATGCTGCTAAATGTTTGCCCTCAGGGGGTCGAAGGGAAGGGGGAGGAGGCTCCATTTCCCGTAAAACTCGCCTCTGAAGTGAATCATTGCTCAGAATACCCTTTTCTACTGCAAGAATCCACATTATGTACATGCCGTGTGAATCGGTTGCGCATCCTTAAATCATTCCATCACCTTGTCGTTTACGAAAAACCTACTTTAGGAAACAGTTTTGGGCTAGGAGTAGGGTATGTGTGGGGTGGACCCTTGGGCAGGAAATAGACCTTTGGCTGGAACAACTTTAAACTGAGCAGATGAGAGCCCTCAGTCAACTCTGTTCTCTGGGCAGACGAGCTTCTGCCTCCGAGTGGAGAAAATTTGGAGGAAAACAATTGAAATAGATCGGAATTTTTCAGGGTGAAAACTCAACTAAGATGGAGTCTTTCTCGCTCCTCCTCCATATCCTCCCGCAGACCCAGGCAGGAGAGGGGGAGGGGGAGAGGTCTGCAAGAGGCCGCACAGGAGGCGCCCTCCGCGCCTTGAAGGTGGTGCCGGGCCCGAGGAGCCAAACACAAAGGTTTCTGAAAATCTTTACTGGTTCTTTACCACGTAATGGAAGAGAAATCTGGGGAGGTTTGTGAGGCCGAGCCGGGCCACGGCTCCCACGCACTAATGTCTCTGCGTTGCCTCCACCAGGGGAGAAGCCCTTCAGGTGCGAGTTCGAGGGCTGCGAGCGGCGCTTCGCCAACAGCAGCGACCGCAAGAAGCACTCACACGTGCACACGAGCGACAAGCCATACACGTGCAAAGTACGCGGCTGCGACAAGTGCTACACGCACCCCAGCTCACTTCGTAAACACATGAAAGTGCACGGGCGCTCACCGCCGCCTCCGAGCTCTGGTTTCGACTCGGCCACGACATCCACCTTGGTGTCTCCTTCCTCGGACTTCGGCCGTGAACTCCCGGTGGCCTCCTCGGTGGCGGTGGCGGCCCGTGGCGCGGAACTGAGCGAATGGTATGTGTGTCAAGGCGCAGGCCGGGTCACGACTGCCTGAGCCGCTTCCCCAAGCCATGCGCCAGCACCTGGCCCTGCCGCTGCCGCCGCCGCCTCTAGTGTTAGGGCTGCTGCTGTGGTTGCTGTTCTGCGCACACTGAGTGCTAGTCTAGGCCAGGTCCTTGAGGCTTGAAGAGAAGGTGAGGAAGGAAGGAAGGAAGGAAGGTCTGTTACAGTTAATAGAGCTCATTGAAGATGCTGGTTGGCAAATGTCCATTATTTTAAAATGTGGATATGGTACTCATATTTACATTTTAAATGTGGTTCTACAATCACACCCAGTACCCCCCCTCCCCACCACACACACAGGCTCTGTCATGACTAGTGTTGGGATAAAGACGGGCAGAAAGAAAAATATATATTAGGAGAGTTTATGTGCAATCGTGGAAATTTCAGGTGGCAAACCTAAGACCACAAAGTCCTTGTGGTTCAGAGGATGGGAACTGTTTTCCTTGAGGCTTGGGCCGCTGGGATTGCCACACCCCCACTCCTTTCCCAGCTCCCAGTTGGAGCCTTGTCCGAAGTTCGGATCACTTATATCTAACTTCCTATTTCCTTCCTCTTTTGCTTCCTTACAATTCCCCATCTCCCAGCTATCCTTTGAAACAAAGATACACAAGTTTCAGATTCAAATATTTCCAGTTACTTCTGTAAAGGAGAAAAGAATGTGTCAGCATCGCCCTTTGAGTTCACATGCCTTTGCCCATGAACTGGCCCAAGCGCACAGATACGTCCGACTACTTGTCCACTTGCTTCTTGTATACATTACAAACTTGGGGCAGGAGGTGGAAATACAGACAAAAGAGTGCTAGAGGGGCTTTAATATTCAAGGCTCTGGGGCTTCCCCAGACCAATCATCCTCCCTTCACTTTCCACCCTTGTCCATTCTCCGCCTGTGGAACCTTGTGGCTGCCTGGGGTGGAGTGCAGTGAGCCGATGACGTCACTGATCCGAGGTCTCCATTGCGAAGGCATCTGACCAAGTCCACAGTGTCTGGATAAATCGCGACGATTCTGTGATGGTCAAAAATCGCACAATATTGGTCTTATTTTTTTTCAAGGGTGAAGAAGGGGGTTAAGAGATGAACTGCAATAATAAATGTTGTAAAGGCAAACACCTAATGGGTCTAGATTGTATGTGTATTTTATGTGCTGGGTTCTCAGTCCCCAGAAAGAGAACCAGATATTGGGGGCAGGGGAGATGAAAGCCTTTGCCGTTGTTGCCAATAATGAAAAATTGGAGCCTATGTTCCAGTCTGCCACCTTTGGGAAGGATGAGGCTTCCCAGAAATACTTGAGATTTAGAGGAATAAGGAAAGAAAAGGAGGGGGGGGGGAGTCCTGAGCAGACCCATCCTAGTCCCCTAAGAATTTGGATATAAATAGGGTTATGATATTCTCACCTAGGGGGAGCCCCTAAACAGCTTACTTTTAAAAGTTGAGCCCAGGAAACCAGTCCTGGCCTGGCCACTCTGTTGGATTTTCTACTCTCTCCTCTTCAGATACATTAGACAATTCTCACTCCTGCCCAACAGCCCCACAGTTCCATCAGATAAATAATTTCCCGATTGTAATGGGATTCTTTTCATTATCCCTTAAAAAAATATCCCCAGTACATCTTTAGTGTCCTTGTGGAAGGGGGACTACAATCCCCTCTTTGCCCCACTACAACTGGGCTCAGCAACTGCCTGGTCAAGGGCTGGGTGGACAGCAAACCTTGGTCTCCACCTATGTGCAGAGGGCATCTGGGGAATTTGCATCTTCTGATGATGTTTAAAAATTATCCCATCCCCACACTGGATTTGTTTCTTTCTCTTCTATTTCTACACCCTACTTTTCCGCCCACTCCCATCCAAAACAATAAAATGAAATAAAAATGTTTGGTCGGTCACTAATCACCTTTAATTTTTCATTTGCTTGTTACAGATGTCCACCTCCTTGCTCGCAAGGTAATCTGGCCCAGCGCAGCTGAGAGCCCGCATCTCACGCTTGCGACATCAAAGGGCCCGCGCACAAAGCAATGTTTCTTCGCCACGGTGCATCTTCATGGTAAGTTAGGATTTCTATGGCAATGGGCAAGTCGCACTGAAATCCTGAAAGGCCGAGCCTGGAGCCCGTCCAGGCTTTTCATTAAGGACATAATATTTACGTCTAACAGGCCTTTTTTCTTGTGTATACAAGTATATATTTTTGTTTGACGCGGACTAAATCATTTTCATTTAATTTCCGGTAAACAAAACCCACGCGAATGGGCACTTGTTCCCGATCATAATAAAAATGGATAATAATGTGAGGGAAGAAAAAGGGCGCTTGAATTGCCGCTCAGCCCCCTTTGTTTCTGCTTTCTGCGGTGATCAGAGGGCGCATTTGGGTTTGATGGCGAGTTTCTAAAGGCGAGGAAATGGTTTGTAAGAGGGAAAGAAAAGGAGAAAGGTCTAATCAAGCTCGGGTTGTTCAAAGAGTTGGGTTTTGGGGTTGAAAGTGTGAGTTTGACGGTGCATCAGCATGCCGCGTTAGGCTCGCCATGGAAATGCGCGCGGGGAGCGGCCGCTTCAAAGGCGGCACACTTCACTACAGACACTCTATTAAGATACATTCGCACTGACCTTTGCTTTCACGCCATTTAATACTGTCACTATGTTCTCCAGTGTATACTTCCCCCGTAGGACCTGCCTCACCGATGTTTAGGGGTTCCTCCTGCATGTTAATGGAGGTGGGCGATTTGGTGCCAGGGACGACTGCAGGAAAGGGAGGAGCCGGACTCAATATACCTTGGCTGCTCCTCAAAGAGGCTGCAAGGTCAGGAGCAAATAACTTTAGGGCAACCTCAGAAGCTGAACAAATGAGCATCCCCAGCTCATTCTGCGCAAAGCACCTCTCTATATCTTGAACAAGGTGGAGGCGTGAATTTGAATGGGACTTGCAGGGCGAGAGAGCCACCCTGGATAAGTCTGGAAAGTTCAGACTGTGGCTTCTGGACATTTCCACTTTGGCCCCAGCACAGCCCATTCATACCCTCTATCCCAGACGTCTCCTGGGGCCCCCCAAACTTACTTTTCTCTATAGTGGTGTGTATGGTACCCCTCAGGCCTTGGCTGGCCCTGGGCACGAGCTCAAGAGCACAAAGCCAAGGGAATAGGGAAGATAGCAGGAAAGTTAGAAGTCCATGTTTCCTTAATTGTCATGTTGTTTATTTTATCCAAGTACCCCAGTGAATAGGGGAAAAATAAACACGGTGGAAAAAAAATCAAACAGTGGAGTCTTCTTTAGTGCCAGTCCTTGTGGTTGAATAAAAAGGATGGTCCGCTTTCTATTGAGTTGAGAAATCTTTGAAGTGGGAGTTATTATCTGAGACATTCCTGCTTGTCGTCCTAACAACGCTGATGAAACGTAAAAGGTTCTTTGTCAGCGATTTGTTCTCCTCTCTGTCAAACTCCGTCTGCCCCGTTAGTTTCAAACCGTTTCTAAAGAGATAAAAATCAAACTTCTTAAAAAAAAAGACATGCACACTAACTGATAACTTTAGGACTAAGGAGAAAACAAAAATAATGCAGAGACGTAAGGTCCAAGGCCTGTGGAGGTGTGCAGATGTTGAGGGGCCCTTTGCAAAGTCTCTGACACATGCATGTAGGCTTCTGTGTGCTGTGGCTTGCACTCAATCAGTCCAAGTCAGGTCACCTGTGCCTCCTATAGGGACTCCTCAGGCTCCCAATATTCTTGCCCGTGATCCTTGGAACCTAAGGTTGCCCAAGTTATTGTTAATATTTCCTACTCCTTAAAAGACAGTCTCTGCTAAAAATAGAATCAGTTTGTGTTTTTTCTCACTAGCAGCAATCAGCAAGCTTTATCTGCCATTAATAGAATGGAGAGTGGCTTGAGGGAGAGACATTTTTTATAATTTCCTGTTTTCTTCAGAATCTTGGCAATTGGAGTTCAGAAGATTCAGTTTACAAGATAGTGCCCCTAGAATGCATGCAAATGCCCCCCCCCATCCACGTAAGCAGTTCTTCATGTTATATTGTGCCCAGGAAAGAAACGTTCACCCTGTCCAGTTTTTCCCAAACCTCCGTCACGTGGTTTTAGAGGTGGTTTAAATAAACAAGGATGTTCTGGTCTTTCTGCTTCGTGTGCTGACTAAATGATTTGTAAAGAAGTTTCCCTGAGCTGTAACCCATGCTGTTATTATAGTTACAACAACATGTTGTATCTTATACTGACTTTTAGTTTCTTACTCGAGGTCCCCAAATGTTTATTTATATTGTTAATTTATGGGAAAAATGTAATGATTACAGTAAATGTGAATTATATAGACAGTCAAATGTTTTGTAGTCATAATTCACACATGCAAAGACCTGGCTGAAACCTTAGACTGTTTAGTACCCTCTCTATCCATGCTGTTTGTGATTTATCATCTGTCCCTTTAGCATCCTAAATTATGAACTAACTGGAAACAAAAAAAGTTATTATATAGTACTTGACTGAAAGTGTTTGTTAAATGAAAACACAGTTGAAAGTGGTGGCTTAATCTTGCTGTAAATATGTAAAAATAAATTAAAATGTGATTGTTTTTCCCTCCAAAGACTTTTGTGTACATGGAGCTCCATTTTGCTATTTTCTTTGGAAATAAAGAGTGTGATGTTTTTCTTCGTCTTTTGAATCTGAGTGTCTTGCTATTGCTTCATCATCCCGGGAGATTTGGGGCCCTCTCACTGCGACCAGTCAGTCCTCTTCCCTGCCTTCCCTCAGGGCTTCACCGGAACATCTCGGAAGCCCAATCGTTCAGGACAGAAAACCGGAGAGATCCACCAAAGTGGACACCATGGAGGAGACCTCTCTTACCCCCACTTTCACCCCAGTGACATTGGCACTCATCAGCCGATTTCCATTACAGAAAAGAAAAAAGGCAAAATGCTCTCAGTGTCTTCCGGGAAAGGCTGCCTCCCGGGGTACCCTCTCACCAACTACCTCTGCCTTTCCGGAGAAAAGCCTCGTAGTTGGCGGGAATAAAAACAAGGAAAGAAAAACACAGGCAGGCTGCATCCAATCCCTGCCTAATCCCCGAAGGGGTACGTGGGGCGTGCACGGTTGGCTGCGGGGTCCCAGCTGGATCCCACCCCCTCCGGGAGTGGGGGAGTAGCGGGCATTCTGAGAGCTGCGAAGGGCCGAGCCCTGAGCTTCTGTAGCTACAGCCCTCGCGACCCTTTCCTGGATTCCGATTGGGATCCTCAGTGGGGTTTAGCATCTGGTGCAGGGGCCCTCTTTTCTGACCCTGCCACCAGAGGAACGATCTCAGGTTTTCCAGAGCCACCAGAATCACTACAGGATTCCTCCACCTTGCGGCGGTCAGGGAGCCTTGAGGCCCCTGCAACCCTCGCTCCCCGCTCCCACTGCGCAGGCGCGGAGTCCGGCGCCCGGGTCGGTGTGCCACTCCGGAGAATTAGATTCCCGCTGGCCTGGCTGGGGTCTCCGCTGCACTTAGTGAAAGGATGACCACTTGGGGGTCAGAATGCTGGGTGTCCTTTTAGAACACCTTGGAGACCCAGCTCCTAGCTCCGAGCCTGCAGTGCCGAAGACTGGGTGGGGGGAGGGACCACAGTGCGCAAAGGCGAAAGGGCGACGTGAGGGTGTGAAAAGAGCGGCCTCAAGGGGAAGGCCCCTGGAGCCGCCGAGACACCTCGGGTGGGTGGGGGCCACGAGGGAGGAGGTCACTGGACATTAGTGCTGGGGTTAGCGCCCCCTTCGGTCTCTGTCGCTGAAGGGAGCCCACTCTTTTGGCTCCGGGACAAGTTGGAGGAGGCATCTCCAGCTGCGTTGGTGTCCTCGACTTGGCCTCTGCGAGAGCGCTCTCCTTAAGGCGCTTTCCCGGACAGAATGGGTGTGGTGGGGAGCGAGTAGGAATTAGAAGGTAACCCGGGCATTGCCGGCCAGGGCTCTTCCCGCTCGGCTCTCTGCTTCTCGGCCCGGCTGCCTCGGGTCCACAGGCTGCGCCGGTAGTTGTATCCCAGTCCTTCCACCTGCCCCTCTCCATCCCGCCCAGCACAGCGCAGTGCTGCCTGGGCGACCGGGAGTGGTGGTCCCGACCATTTCCCGAAGTGGGGTGAAAAGACAGTCTGAAGGCAGGCAGTTGCCGGGCCTCCGCGTTGGCCTTGGAGATGCACAGGTCTGCCTTTGAACCTTTCTAGTTAAAGTTGGGACAGTGGGATCAAGGGATTTAGGGGAGAGAGGAAAAGGGAGTGCTCTGGGATGCCTCAGCGCCCCTAGGCACCAGGAGAGCTCAGACTTCCTTTGAACCATTATTTCTGGCAGAGATTTGAACGGTATAACCTTTGGCAGAGGGTTGAATTCACTGGTTCTCAAGTGCCCCTGGCTAGCCTTACCCCAGAGACAAATTCCCTTGTTCTTTGGGGGAAGTTACACACCTCTCACCCCGCAGTGGCAGCACCGAGGGCAGTTTGGGGAAATCTTCACCTGCTAAAGATTTCTGCTGGGCCTCTCCTCTTGCTTAGTTAGATTAAGAGTTCCAGGTAGAACTGCAGGCTGGCACGGTGGGATGACTTTGGCTAGAGGCCAATCTCTCAGGCTTGTCCACCTATGGCTCTGCGCTCCAGGATAAGTGTGAAACATTCCCTTGCTTGTTTCCTTATCTAGTAAAATAGAATTTAAAAGTTTGTTTGATGGTTACATAAGATAACCCTTGAAGCATTTAGAATCTACATGTTAAGTGCTTGTTGTTGTTTACATGATTCCATCTTTTAGACACATGTCCTACCATCTTCCTGAATAAGATCTTGAGGCCTTCCTAGAAAATGTGGCATTCTCAGGGACCTCAAGCTCTGTAACAGGGTGTGTTTCTACAGGGAGCCCAGAGACTAGCTGAGGGTCCTGAAACCTCCTGAATTTATGTTCTGGGAGAGTCTCAGATCTCTGTGCAGTAGGGCACTGAAGCAGAGACAATTTATATTTAAAGGGTTCAAGAAAAAGTGCAGGGAATCAAGTGTTTTGGGGTACAGAAAGAAGCTAGAAAAACCTGATTATTTTAATGTCACCCCCTACCCCATGACTAGCACTGCAGTAAATAGAATGGCCTGGTCAGTACAGGTGCTGGTTTATTTTTATTATAATTCTCTATGGTTAGTGTGAGTCCTGTGTTGGGTTTTTAAAGACCCAGGTGTGGAGGGGG